TTCCGTAGACTCACCTAGCAGAGCAGTAGTAGGTGTTCTGAATTGGCTGGGAAGGGGCAGGGCAGAAAGTAGAATGGGAGAGGTGATTCTGAGACGTCCTTCTTGCAAAGGCTGAGAGAAGACTGAGTCCAGGGCAGCAGGCTGGGAATAGAGGCACAGAGATGCCCACGCGGTCACTGCGATGTGACCCATGGGATGCGTGTAATACACATGTAACCATCGCGTGTGATAGAGCTGTGGGTACCAGGATGGAGGAAATAGCACAGAAGAATGGATCGCAACTGCTTAGAAGCTTAAAGTATCAGCTCCTGGGACACCTGGGCGGCTCAGTTGTTGGCCATCTGCCTTTGGCTTTGGGAGGTGGTCCTGGGCTCCTGGGATCAAGCCCCTTGTTGGGCTCTCTGCTCAGCGGGAAGCCTGTTTCTCCCTCTCCCACTCCCCCTGCTTGTGTTCCCCTCTCACTGTGTCTATCTGTCAAATAAAAAAAATCTTAAATTAAATAAATAAATAAATAAATGTAAGAATAAAAAATCGGCTCCTGGGAAAATGGGGACAGAAAGTAACAGAAACTGGTCCCGGCTGGGGGAAGGAGGATCATAAATGGAGTGTAGTTGGAGAAGCAGTAGGATCCTCACTGTGAAAATTCCAAAGAAATCTGTTCACTTTGTTGGCTGTGTATTGTTCCCGCAGCGATGTTAAGGGAAGTCTGTCTGTTAGGGATCGCTAACCTATGGATGGAAGTGGCTTGAAGATAACTCCAGCAGACAAACCAGCCGGCATTTGGGGGGAGTAAGTGAAACAGACCCCAGAGTGCCTCACCTTCCTCTGTGCCCTGGTTCCCTAACCAGTACCAGCAGCCACACCCTGGGGGTTGCCCCAGACTCCCCTCTGTCTGTCCAGCCGGCTACCAAGTCCGGCCTGTCCTGAAGCTCCCTTAAATGTTTCTTCCTGAAACTGCCTTTGATGAACTCTTTTCAGATGCCTTCAGAGATACTGCAGTATTTTGTTTACTTGCCCCTCGCCTTCCTCCACTCAGGCCCGTCTTCCTCATTAAAATCGGGGTCATGGGGGCGCCTGGGCGGCTCAGTCAGTTAAGCTTCTGCCTTCAGCTCAGGTCATGATCCCTAGGTCCTGGGATTGAGTCCCGTATCAGGCTCTCTGCTCAGTGGGGAGCCTGCTTTTCCCTCTCCCTCTGCCTGCCACTGCCTCTGCTTGTGCGCTCTCTGTCTCACACACACACACACACACACACACACACACACAAAATTGGGGGCTGTGGCTGGAAGGAAGAGATGGTCTGCTGCCACGTCTGCAGATGGTGGCTCGGTGGGCTTACTGACGCGGAGGGTCACGCAGCTAGTACGGAAGACCTAGGTCTGCCCGAGTGTGAGGCTGGCGCTGCCCCTGCTGCAGCAAGCCCCCCGGCCAGACAGCGTCTCAAGTCGTTCTAGGGGAGAGGACCCAGCCTGCTGGCAATTTGATAAGTGCGTGGATTTGAGGCGCCAAATCCTCTTGGAGCAGCCCACGATTCAAGGAGCCCGCTTAAACACTGAAAACAGGCGGGGATACGTAGGAAAGACAGAAGTACACACTTTTGCTGTTCTCATTATAGATGGATCCAGTCTCTTAGAGAGCAGCCTGGGAATACGGTGTTTCAGAATAATTTATGTTCTTTTATTTGGTGATCACACCGTTTGAGAGGCTCTTCCGTGACCCACTGGAATACAGGCGCATGTTCAGAGCTGTAGTTCGAGTTCCCATTCCCCGATCCAGACCTTCCGTCCGCGCTGTCGGCTGCAGGGAACTTAGTCATGCTTGGGTTTCGCACTCATAATCCCACGGCCTTGTCGGTACCTTCAGAGCACAGCCCGAATCCGACCACTTCTCACCACCCCACACCGCCCCCTATCCTGACTTTCAGCTTCTCGTGCCTGCGTTACTCCAGTAACCATCCTTGCCTGCTTGTAGACTTATTTCCAACACATCAGCCAGTTGGATTCTTTCAAAATAGAAGCCATATTTTTTTCTCTGCGTAAAACGTTCTAGTCATTTCCTTCTCACTCGGAGGACAAGTGCAGTTCTTGCAGCAGCCTCTGTAGCTTCAGGCTCCGTGTCTTTGTTGGACCCCCTCTGCTGGCCTTCTTTGCCCAGCCTCTGCAGCAGCATCGGCTTCCTTATTCCTAAGCCAGGCCAGGCCCTGGCCTGCCCCAGGGCCTTTGCACTTGTTGTACTTGCTGTTCCCACTCTGAAATTCATCCCTCAATAATCATGTGGCTTGTTCCCGTCATTCCCTCTGGTTTTTACTCAGACATTATCAACGAAGCCTCCCCTGAACACTGAAATATAAAATTGAAACACCCCATTGCCTTCCTACACACTCTGTGTTCCCCTCCTCCCACCTCCCAGCCTGGTATCCCAGAGGAGAGAGGGAGTGTACATCTTTTGGCAAACAGTTCCACTCCTTATGATAATCTCATGGTCTCAAGGACGTTGCCTGAATGAGCCTCTTTATCCTTTTATTCAGCAACACACTGTGTGGGCAGCATTGCCTATGTCAGATACCTCACGGCAGGGTCCGAAATCTGCACTCACCTGTGCAGCAGCCTTTGCAGGAAGTCCCCCGCTGTCACTCTCAGGTATGCCAGCTCAGATAATGTGTGTCTGGATCACTATTGCCTCCTTAGAAGAGCAAACTCCGAGTGGAAAAGTGAGCAACTTGCCTTACCTTAAAATGCACTGTGCAGTATTAATATACACCTAAAAGAAGTGCAAATATAACAGTGAATGAGGTCATTCGGGAAATTTGCCATACCTGGCCCTCAGCAGTTCTCTACGTAGAGGTGTATCTGTTCGTGATCAGCAGACTTCTGCAAGCGGCTGGTAGTGTTTTAGACTTTGTGGCCCATAGGGCCTCTCTTGCAGTGACCCAGGTTTGCCACTGGAGTGGAAAAGCAGCCGTAAACCGTACATAAATAAATGAGCATGTCTGTGTTCCAATAAAACATTACTTACAGACCCCGAACTGTGAATTTCAAACAATTTGCTTGTGTCACAAATATTCTAAAAAGTAAAAACCACTCTTAGCTTCCAGGCTGTTGGAGAACACAGAGGCTGGGATTGGCGTGCGGGCTGTAGTTTGTCTGCCTGGACTCCAAGCAGCTCTGTCCAGTGGAGCTTGCTGTGGTGACGGAATCGTCCTGTGTCCGCCTCCCACACTCCATCTATGCGTCATGTGTGGCCGCTGAGCACCTGGCGTGCAGCAGCCAGGGCACTTGAGGAACTGATTTTTAATATTAGTCAATTTTTTTTAAAGGTTTTATTTATTTATTAGAGAGAGCATGAGTTGGGGGGGAGAGGCAGAGGCAGAAGGAGAAGCAGGCTCCCCGCTAAGCAGGGAGCTGGATGCAGGGCTCGATTCCAGGACCCTGAGATTGTGACCAGAGCTGAAGGCAGACGCGTCACCGACTGAGCCACCAGGAACCCCAGGATTATTCAATTTTAATATGAATTTTAGTTTCATTTTAAATAGCTCATGTGGGCTAGTGGCTCCAGTTTGGGGCAGTACGGGGCCTATAGTGGCTGTGAATGTGCAGGAGAAAGCATGAACAGCATTGTTCAGTAGCAGAAACCAGGAATGATGGCACACTCACATGGTGGAAATACTTATAATAATAGCGAACATCTGTTGAGTGCTTTCTAGACTCCAGGCCGTGTTCTAAGCACCTTACCTGCTCTAACTCCTTGGATTCTCACGAATGTAGTAGTGAAAAGAAACTGTCTTCTGTGTCCACCAGGGATGAATGACTCTTAGATGCACAAGGTTGAGTGAAAAAGTAAGTCACGGGGCATCTGGCGGGCTCTGTCAGTAGAGCGTGCCACTCTCAACACGAGGTTGTGAGTTCAAGCCCCATGCTGGACATGGAGCCTCCTTAAAAAAATAAAGTAGGGGCATCTGGGGGGCTCAGTCAGTTAGGCATCCACGTCTTGATCTCAGCTCAGGTCTTGATCTCGGGGTCGTGGATACGAGTCCTGCATTTTAAGGAGGCTCCTGCCCAGTGTGGAGCCTACTTAAAATGAAAAGAAAAAAATGAATTAAAAAAATTTAAAACAACAACAACAACAAAGCAAGTCACAAAAATTGCATACCACGTAATACCATTTTTCAGACCTCACACGCAACATGAAACACTGTTCAGGGATAAACAAATATTTGGTAAAACCATTGGAAAGCAAGGGAATTCAGGTATGTTGCCTTTGGGGGAGAGGAGATGTCCCATTGAGGCCGGCTCCGTCCCGAAGAAGCAGTGGGACCCCAACCTCCCGACCTCCTGAGCACTATGTGCGGGCACTCCTCTGTGTAGCCCTGGGTAGGGGGCAAGCAAGCAGCCGCTGACTTCGGAGAACAGTGTCTTCACTAAAAGCCCTGGTCATTGTGGTGTCACTGCAGTTAGGACCAAATCTGGTTTCGGTTCATATTCAAGCGAATGTGTTGCTTTTGTGGGTCCCTTGGATTAGAAAACGTGGTTCTTTCTGCAGCTCAAAAACAAAGTATTAAAACCCTTTGCTCTAGGGGTTTGTTTTTTGTTGTTGTTGTTTCACCAAATCCCGTGCTGGGTGAAATGTTTCCAGAATCGGGCCACAAGAACTTAGTGTGAAAATGAAAAGTCTGAAAACTGTAAAATAATAAATAGGCTTACCGTGAGAGTGGTTGTTAAAAATGGTCCAGACAGCACTGGAGGGCGACATGCAATTTTACAGATTTCACGTCCAGGTCGGCGTGATTTCAGCATCACCCAGTGTGTGGTGTTGGGGTCAGAGACATTTGTGCTTCTGAGGACCTGGCTCGCTGTGGCCATTCCAGCGAGGGGCTCCTGGGCTCACTGTTGAATGACTTCAAGCTTTTCTATGTAAATATGTGCGTCTTTGACTTTTTTTTCCTTATTGTTCCATCTTTATTCTTTTCTGCATTACTGACATGGGTTTGTCTTTTCTCCCTTTAGAGAGTTTTGAGGTGACAGTCACCAAAGAAGGTGATGAAGGGTTCTTTCTATCCCTCTTATGATTATTAACCCACTAACTTTGTTTATAAAATTGGGAATCAGCCCTTAAACAGAAGAAACTGTCATGTTCTTTTACCCTGATTTATTCTCCTACTTTGTTTCTATTTTTAAATATCTTGATGGAAATTGTATGTAACCAAACCCTTGGTTAGAAATATCTGGACATCAGACATCCATTTGAACTGTACGGATAATGTACATTTTTTTCCTCAATTGAACTTCAGAGATTGACTTTGTAACCGTCTTCTGTGAGTTGTAATTTTGGAAGAGGGCAGTCTTACTTTTATGTGAAATCCATTTTTCTGAAGTTTGATACGTACAAGAAAACATTTATGTTTGTTCTCCCACAGGCAAGAATGGAAACCTAGATTTTCACCCCTAATTAAGCTCTGAGCCAGCTTCCATGTACTGATGTCCCCAGGCAGGCTTCTTTTTTAGGTCCGATAGTCTAGTTTTGGAAATGAGTCTAGCCAATCCCTCCCCATGACAGAACCAATCTTAACAGTAGACTGTAGCCGTTGAAATGGATGCCTGAGAAGTTGGTATTTCTACCTTTCTCATTCGGTAGTTTGTTTTGATTCCCTAATTTTAGCCAGGCTCATTGCACAGGAAGACTTGTTTCTTTTGATTTTTCTTTCTTTCTTTCTTTTTTTTTTTTTGGACAGAATTTCTGTAATTATGGTGCTGAACCTATATGTCACACTCCTTCCTCTCTCGACACTTAACTGCATTTTAGCCTTCTCTCTGGTCCAAATAAAAATGGCTACCTGGCTGTCCCCAGTAGCTGGGAACAGTTCCTCCGTGTTATCAGGCCACGGCTGTTTGCTCATGAGACTGCTTTTACCCTGGAGCTGTCTTAAGTACTCCTGTGAAATGCCTGTCTATATTTTCTCTTTTTCTCTTTTGTACTCCTGCATGAATGGATGCAAAGTTAAGCAAGTTGCTTGGAAAGCCAGAACATGCTTCTTTTTACTAAAGTCCCAGAACTTACCCCCGTCAAAGCACAGTGCCCTTGCTTTGTCCACAGACCCTCTGAACCCCTGGCTGCTGGACTGTTGTCGTTTCTTTTCTTTTTGGGGGCGTGGGGCCGGGGAGGGGAGGAGAGGGGAGGGCGGGGGTACATGCAGACTCGGGGCGGGGGCAGAAATTCTAACCTGTGCTGCTTTGACTCCCTAGGTGAGATTTGTGGATTTAAAATTCACGGGCAGAATGTCCCCTTTGACGCAGTGGTGGTGGATAAGTCCACTGGCGAGGGACTCATCCGCTCAAAAGAGAAGCTGGACTGCGAGCTGCAGAAAGACTACACGTTCACCATCCAGGCCTATGACTGTGGCAAGGGGCCGGATGGCGCCAATGTGAAAAAGTCGCATAAGTAAGTACGCCGGGCAGGGAGGCGCGTGCGGAGAGCCGTCGTGACCGTTGTCCCTGTCCCCAAGGCTCCGTGGGGTTCGTTTTAAGATTTTATTTAATTTGAGGCAGAGGCAGAAAAAGAGGGAGAGGGAGCACAAGGAGAGAGAGCAGGAGGGAGAGGGAGAGGGAGGAGCAGACTCCCTGCTGAGCGGGGAGCCCGACGTGGGGCTCGATCCCAGGACCCCTGAGCCAAACGCGGACATTTAACCGACAGAGCCACCCAGGCATCCCCCAAGGCTCTGTGTTTTTAAAGATGAAGCAGAAGATACTTCTGGGTTGTCCCCCATGACACTGTGAATTCTTCAAGGGCAGGAGTCTTGTCTGTTTACCCCACAGCATTGGATGTTGAACTAATAAATGAAGGAGTCATTTTATCCCACCAAATACTGTTAAAGAAACTAAGGCCCTATGCTGAAAATTGGAAAAGCCCAATTTTTCTTGAGGGAAGTATTTTGTTGTTAGGGGTTCCTTTTTTGGGTGAATTCTAAGGGTCTAGAATTCCTGCATGCCACGCCCCCTCCTGGCTGTGTCCCTGTCCTTCCTGCCTGCGGAGAACTGGTATAACAGACAGGCTCTGGACAAGACCTAGATTTAGACAGAATGCAGTCTCTTCCTGTGTTTTTTTTTTTAAGTGCATAATCCAGCAGCGTATATCTTTTTTTTTTTTTTAAGATTTTATTTATTTGACAGAGAGCACAAGCGGGGGAGTGGAAAGCAGAGGCAGAGGGAGAAGCAGGCGCCCCACAGAGCAAGGAGCCCAAAGCGGGGCTCCATCCCAGAACCCCAGGATCATGACCCGAGCCAAAGGCAATCCCCAACCAACTGAGCCACCCAGGCACCCCAGAATCCAGTCTCTTCTCCACCACTTGCTCTCCCTTTGGCATTAGGCCAATTTCGTTTTCTTGAGTCTCAGTTTTTACTTAGTGCCTCGGCTAAGGAGAGTGGGACATGTTGGGGGTAATAGCACATGACCCTCTGTGAGGGTCAGGAGGACACTGGGGTGCTGAGAGCCAGCGAATCACCTTACCGTTGTCCTTGAAAAAGGCCTTACTTCAGTCAGAGATCTGGTCCGAGTCAGAAATATGCCCTGATCAGTAGCCCTTGACACTGGCCATTTCCGCTCTTTACAGCTGGGTCTGATGGCACCTTTAGTGCCTCTTGCCCGAGCTGGGGAGGTGGAACGTGGCAGCAAGGGGTCTGCTAGGAGGGGAAAGCTGAGATCACGTTGAAGTCCTTCGTTTGTTGGGTCAGTAATGGGCAACAACGGGTTGCTAGCGGTCTTGGTTCCATAGAAGCTGGACAGAAGCTGGACAGAACTGTTTCCAGGCTCCCAGACTCCCTGTCCATGTTTCCCGTCTTCTGTGTCTTTCCCCCTCTTCCTTGGGCTCTAATTTTGTCTTATCTAGTTTATCTCCCTTCTGCATGCCCTGTCCCATACTGTCAAGAAAACTCCAAGTCTCTTTTATTTTATATGGCTGCCTTTCTTTATTTTACCAGCCACCTTGCTCTTGGGGTCTGGAGGAATCGACTCAAATTCCTGTTTTAACTTTCTAAACTTGTCTCCACACTAAAGTAAAAACAATCACTTGTTTAATTTTGATCTCCGTCATTTGAACTTCATGAAACAAGATAGTAGCAAAAGATACATTTAAAACCAGGAAAGAATTGGTATGCTCGGGGTCAAAAAGCAAACCGAACACACAGCTTTTCTTCTTCTTCCAGAGCAACTGTCCACATTCAGGTGAACGACGTGAATGAGTACGCACCGGTGTTCAAGGAGAAGTCCTACAAGGCGACCGTCGTCGAGGGCAAACAGTACGACAGCATCCTGCGGGTGGAGGCCGTGGACGCCGACTGCTCCCCTCAGTTCAGCCAGATTTGCAGCTATGAAATCGTCACTCCAGACGTGCCATTCGCCATCGACAAAGATGGTAAGTCGGAGGAGCAGGCCTTCCTGACCGGGGAGACGGTCCGTGGACAGGTCTGCACGCGGGCGAAACTCAAAGATCCGGATGATCTCTGCCCCTCCCTTCAGGCAGCTCTAGAAAGTACCCCAAGCTGGGGGCTCATACGACAGACGCTGGAGGCTGGGAGACCAGGATCGTGGCACTGGCAGACCCAGGGTCTCCTGAGTCCTGAGGCCTGGTTCACCGGTCATCTCGCTGGGTCCTCACGTGGAAGGGAAAGAGAGAGCCCTCTGGATCCCAGTGTGGGGGCCTCACGACCTCACCTAAACCTGAGTTCCTCCCCCAGAAGCACCTCCTTATAACTGCATGGTGTGGGGTGCTAGGACTTCAGTGTACGGGTTTGGGAGGCACAAGCATTCAGTCCATCGCAGAGCTCTTCTGGTGTGTGTGTGTTTCATATCTTTTTACCCTGTCCCCTGAAAGCCTCACTTCTGGCACCTGAAATCGTGTGTTCTTTATGGCGCACCCTTCTTTTTCCTCTCCCAAGGTCTAAAATATCCCCCACTTCACATGTTTTTAATCTGTACCTTCTCACCTTTCCATCAGTGCGCGTCAAAAAGACCTTTGGTCGCTCTGTTTTCTGTTCTTCGTTAGATTTGGATCTTCTGCCTCATCTGACCGTGAAGGTTTATGCCTTCCTGCCAGATCCTCCCATCCCCTGTCATTGAGCAGAATGAGCTTGTGCCAAAACTCCGCTTCCGGATTAGCTTATGGCTTCTTGACGGTGATACAGGGTCTCTGCTGTTGATGCACCGTCCAGAATCTTCTCAGGAAATCACGGACATTGCGAACACTTTGCAGACATCCGCACTCACATTCAAAAGCAGGCCCCTCCGTTCTAGGGGTGGGGTAGGGACTCTCTCTGTCTCTCTCCGACACACACACAAAGGAAATCTTTTAGCAAGAAATGGATTTAGTGCAGCTTGATCTTGTGTTCCGTAGTTGAAGTACTTGAGTTATTTTGTCTTCTTTCTCCTCTTTCATGCAAACCGCTTAGTCTTAAAGCAAATACATAAAACCAAAATAGAAAAACCATAGGAATAAATGAAGGTTGAATTGTGTAGACACGTTCCCTCTGTTGACAAAGTCCTTCAAGGTGGACTCAGTGTGTTCAAGCTCAAGACAGCCAGACTGAGTGTTAAGGACCTGCGGCCGGAGCTTTCTTTCCCCTCAGTGTTGATGATGCTTGAAGCCCGTGCCCTTTGTGTCCCCTCCCGGCTCCGCGTTCTCATTGTTGCCTCTGCCCCCTGGAAGGTTATATAAAAAACACAGAGAAGCTGAACTACGGGAAGGAGCACCAGTACAAGCTGACGGTCACCGCCTACGACTGCGGGAAGCGGAGGGCGGCGGAGGATGTCTTGGTGAAGGTCAGCATCAAGCCCACCTGTACCCCGGGGTGGCAAGGTGAGCCTCGTTCTCCTTTCTCCTCCCGCACCTGTTCTTTAAACGGTGTTGACCAGAGAAAACTGAAGTGTGAGTTTTCCTCCTTTCTCCCCACCCCTGGGTTTGTGGACCGACCCAGGATGGAACAACAGGATCGAGTACGAGCCTGGCACGGGCACCTTGGCCCTCTTCCCCAATGTCCACCTGGAGACATGCGATGAGTCCGTGGCCTCGGTGCAGGCGACCGTGGAGCTGGAGACCGGTCACATCGGGAAAGGCTGTGACCGGGACACCTACTCGGAGAAGTCCCTTCACCAGCTGTGTGGTAAGCGGGGGGCCGGCCCGGTGGTCTCCCCGGAAGGCGAGAGACCCCGTCTCAAATGGAAGGGGATGTGTGTATGTGTGTGTGTGTTGCTGGACAGAATCAGACACTGAAACACACTTGGACCCTCTGAAAGGGCCGTCACTGTCTTCCTGGCTAGTTTTCCTACTGGGTGGCTTTTAGGAGGTTCATAAACCCCTGTCAGTCTATTCCGAACATTACGGGCATGGGCATTTTAAGAACCAATGATTGGAGGAACGTATTTCTCTAACCGAGGGCATCCTCCAAAGAGGGATTACGTAAGTGGACTGAGTTTGAAACGAAAGGAGATGTTTATCTCAAGATAAAGAAAAAAACGTAGGTAATGCAATAGCTTTTGGCAAACGTGAGGCGGAAAATCAAAAGTAAGGATACCCCATGTCGTTTCGAGTCTCAGCAGATTCTCTTTGCTGTAAGCATTACATGGACCAGAGACCAGTGGTTACAGATCTGATTAAAGCCTGGTGCTGTCTTCACCATCAGTTTTTCTGGTTTATCTAAATGAGGCAGAGGTGAGGTGTGGATGCCTGTCGTGGAAAGTGCTGAGGAAGACTGTTTGCTTTCGTCAGGGCCAAAACACCTGTAACTTGAATGAGGTCTTTGCGATCCGGGGGTGTTGTGCTTCAAGAGCTACTCAGTGTTGGCTCTGCCAGACGCACCGGCCCTTGCTTACCTGTCTCTCCACCGGCCTGGTAACAGCCAGCAGATTTAGGATTTCTTACAAAACTGGAAGAAGCAAAAGCAAAAAAGTATATTATACTCTGGTGTGGCATGATTCTGAGTCCAAATAGTCATATACTTAAATACATATATAGTTAAGAGAACTGGGGCATATCCTGTTTTGTTTTTTTGTGTTGTTTTTTTTTATTTTTTTTTTAATTTTTTTTAATTTTTTTTTTAAGATTTTATTTATTTATTTATTTGACAGAGAGAGAGAGAGAGAGAGCACAAGTAGACAGAGAGGCAGGCAGAGAGAGGGGAAAGCAGGCTCACTGCCGAGCAGAGAACCCAATGCGGGGCTCGATCCCAGGACCCTGAGATCATGACCTGAACCGAAGGCAGAGGCTTAACCCACTGAGCCACCCAGGTGCCCCATGTGTTGTTTTTTTTTAAAGATTTATTTGACAGAGAGAGAGATCACAAGTAGGCAGAGAGGCAGGCAGAGAGAGGAAGGGAAGCAGGCTCCCCGCTGAGCAGAGAACCCGATGCGGGGCTCGATCCCAGGACCCTGAGACCATGACCTGAGCGGAAGGCAGAGGCTTTAACCCACTGAGCCACCCAGGCGCCCCGGGCATATCCTGTTTTAAACTATGTGTGGGGAGGGGCAGAGCGAGAGGGAGATGCAGATGCCCCACTGAGCAGGGAGACCGATGTGGGGCTCGATCCCAGGACCCTAGGATCATGACGAGAGCCAAAGGCAGAGGCTTAACGACTGAGCCACCCAAGGGCCCCTATACATATTTAACTATAATGTTTAAAACTCATTTTCTCTCCAGTGTCATGATTTTTTATGGTGTCAGATGAACATTTTCTCAACAGAACAGTTTAAAGTCAGGAAGAATGGGAAGGATTTCATATGCGGGTGCTTATGAAACTATATGCTCTGGACTTCCACAAGTGCCTGTCAGGCCTATGAAGGAGGTGGCCGTGACCTCATTTTTACTGAGGAATGAACTGTGACTGGAGGAGGATAGGGTCACACTTTTAGGGAGTGGCAGGTGCTCACATCTGACCAAGGTTATGTATTAGGTGATGTGGCTCCGAGGACCAGGTGACTGGGAGAACTTAGGCTTCTTCTGTGGACGCATTTAAACGAAAATTGCACTTGGCAATATATGATAGCTGGAAGATTTTTTCCCTGTTCTTTGGCTTCCTAATTCCATTTGTAGGAATTTATGCTAAGGGAATAATCATGGAATCACACAGAGGTCCTCATAAAGGCAGGGTTCATCATAGAAAAAAGTAGGGACAACGTCTGTTCACTAGGGAGATTAGTTAAGTTACAGTATATCTGTTCCTTTCACACATTTAAAATTATGCTGTAGAAAAATATTAATGGGAGTGTGGGTATGTACGCATATCACTAGACTTCCTTTTTATAATAAGTATTTATTCGTAAGGAAAAGACGGAGTGTTTATACACAGATGTCAATAGTGGATATGTTTCGGTGGGATTGCAAGTAAGACTTTCTCCCTTTTTTCCTTTTTAAAAAATATCTGCAGTTACTATTTGTGATTTTTTATTTTTTAATCAAAACCGGGATTATAGACTGGGACTAGCCAGTTGTATAAGATAAGGATGTTGCATTAGTGCGGCTTTGAAACTGTACCTTTTAAGCCCTTCGTGAAACGTGCGTTGAGTGTCACTGTGTCGGCCTAGGTGCTGCGTCAGGCACTGCCGAACTGCTCCCTTCCCCAAGCGGGTCCTTGAACTGGACTGTGGGCCTCCCCACCGACAATGGCCATGACAGCGACCAGGTCTTCGAGTTCAACGGCACACAAGCAGTGAGGGTCCCAGATGGCGTCGTCTCAGTCAACCCGAAGGAGCCTTTCACGATTTCTGTGTGGATGAGGCACGGGCCTTTTGGCAGGAAGAAGGAGACGATTCTCTGTAGCTCAGACAAGACAGGTAGGTTGATGTGCCGTTGGGGCATCCGTCATACTCGAGTGGCCCCCGAAGTGGTCGCTGGAGGCAGGGCACCTGACTTCCTCCAGAGGCTCCCATGGGCTGGTGGTGACACACGTGTCCTGTGCTCTGGGCTGGGGTACTGTGTCCTTGAGATACTGCACTACCCTTGGTGAGTTGGGTCCCACGTCTTAGTGAAACCCAGGGGTGTTTGTTTCTAAACTCTGCCTTGGCCCAACTGGAGAAGTCACTTGCGCTGATGAAACTATCTTCCAAATCCATTAAGGAAATGGCTTTTACTTCTCCACCGGGTCCTAAGTTGGCGATTTACCAGTAGGATTTCTCTCTGCAGACATGAACCGGCACCATTATTCCCTCTATGTCCACGGCTGCCGGCTTGTTTTCCTCCTCCGCCAGGACCCTTCGGAAGAGAAGAAATACAAACCTGCAGAATTCCACTGGAAGTTGAACCAGGTGCGTGCCTGGAAAACTGGCTGGGTTTGATCTTTCCGAGAGTATGAGTAGGTGTTGCAACCTTACGTGGGACTGGCTGTGTGGGGGCAGCTTATGGGCAGTGTGTATTTATGTTCTTGAGTCAATACGAAAATATAAAAAACTTTTTGCAACCTACATAGACATTGTAGACACAGTTCTCTTCTAGTAACCACAGTGACTGTGTTCAGTTTCTTCTGATGACATTTCAAAAAAACTTTATTATGTAGGTGATAGGACGGCAAGTTAAATCCTTTGAACTCCTTTCCACTGAAAGCCTGTTTTTCATTTTATAAGTGTGTATTTTATGCATCCATTATTAATATAAAGAAATTTTATGCCCCTTTTTTTCAATCTTACTTATTTGACAGAGAGAGAGAGAGATCACAAGTAGGCAAAGAGGCAGACAGAGAGGAAGGGAAGCAGGCTCCCTGCTGAGCAGAGAGCCCGACATGGGGCTCGATTCCAGGACCCTGGGATCATGACCTGAGCCAAAGGCAGAGGCTTTAACCCACTGAGCCACCCAGGCGCCTCAAGAAATTTTATGCTTTAAATTCAGAATACTATGTTGTAATTTAGTGAAATAAGCAGCATTTGCTTACAAATTGGGATGGAGATCCTGGTATTGGTTTATTCATTACTTAAAGCCTTGGCTCCTGAACTGTGCCACGGAGCCCCCGGGGGCCTCAGCAAATTGAGGGGTGCCACAGGTGCTTTAAGTTGTCACGGAGCCAGCAGCTGTAACATCTTTCAGAAACCTCACAAACTACTAGCTTGAGGGAGTTTACAGTTTCGACATTAGGTCATGTTATAGCCCTTTTGATGATAGCATATCTGTGCAAAGCCGCTTTCCCAGCAGTTTCTGTGATAAAAAGCAAGTATCACGTGAAAAAAAACGACATGTTAAGGAAGCAGGGAGACGCTGTACACTGGGGAGGCCTGTTCATTAAAATCACAGCAGATCATTTCTCCTCCTGATTTTGGTTTGGATCAAGACGGAAACCTGTGGCCCGAGCTCAGTTCTGTCTTGTGGAGTTAGTGGGCCAGAGCTGATGAATGTCTGCCTATAGTTACTGGAACACAGCATCGTCCCCAACATGTACAAGGTAGATCGACGTGTGTGAGCGCAAGCGAGACAGGAGGGCTGTGTGACAGTGCAAAGCGACGGTCCAGCTGGTAGCAGTCATCTCTTACTCGTGTCGTTTCCGTTTTCATAGAGAATCTGAGAAACTTTTATACATATGGTTTTTCAAGAAACTAAAGAAAGGTACAGTCCAGAAAAAACTCTGCCGTGTACGTAGAATTCGTAAGCCCAATTCTGTTATAAAAACCACAGTCTCTATTTATGTATTTAGTTTCTTCAGATAACAGTAAAAAAAACTTCATTATGGGAAGTTTCAGCAGAGGTAAAAGCAGACAGATTAATGTAAAGAACAACTCCATGTAGCGTTCCCCCGGCTTCAACAGTGCACACTTGGCTGGTCTGGTTTCGTCATTCCCCTGCTCAGTGTCGATGGTTGTTGTTACCTCCTCGAGTAAATGCCAGTTTGTTCTCTGTGGGGGTAATGCAGTTTGTGCCTCTGAATGGTAAGCAGAACTACAATTCTTTGGTTACATCTTAAATGTAACATCTTAAAAAATGAATAGGGCGCCTGGGTGGCTCAGTCAGATAGACGTCCAGCTCTTGATTTCGGGTCAGGTCATGATCTCAGGGTCGTGAGATCGAGCCCCGCATCGGGCTCCCCGCTCATGAGTCTGCTTTGGTTCCCTCCCTCTGCCCCTCCCAGGCTTGTGCATGCGCTCTCTCTCTCTCAAAAAAACATTTGACAGTTCCTTAATATAGTCAGATATCTAGCCAATGCTCAAAGTTTCAGGTTGTTTCATTGATATGTTTTTAAATTTATTTGAGAGAGAAAGCACAAGTGAGGGGAGGAGCGGAGGGAGAGAGAGAAGCAGGCTCCCCGTCCAGCAGGGAGCCTGACACAGGGCTCCCCCCGAGATCACAACCCGAGCTGAAGGCAGATGCCCTGAACCACCCAGGGCCCGTCCTGTAAATCTTATATTTATAATCTGTCTGAATCAGGACCCAAATAAGGGGCCATACATGGTGACTGGTTGATAAACCTTTTGACTTTATTTTGTAATCTGTAGATTTTTCTCTTCTCGCCCGTAATTTATTGGATGACAAAATCAGGTCGTTTGTCCCACACACTTCCCCGTAGCATAGATTCACCTGGTTGTATCCGTCCTTGTGCCTGTAAATCCATGGCGAGGCTTCAGGGGTCGTTGGGGCTCGGGTTTGCCTGTTCCTGTGTCTGGTGGTTTGTGTTTCCGTGATGGGAGGAGCCATTCGTGCTGACTCTGTCTCTGTCGTCCGTGTCGTGGGGAGTGTGTCCCCGGGAAGGACTCATGGGAACAGCCCGAGTTCCCCCGTGTTGGGGGTGTGTTTGTGGCCTTTACACAGACGGTCGGTGTGGCTGGGTCTAAAGTCTCTGGCTCCCATCTAGGGTTTGCAGGAACAGAACGTGTCCCTGTCCGTTGTCCTCGGACGGGAGAGGCTGCTGCCGTGCTGTCAGCCATCCGATCTCTTTCCCTCGTAAAACACTTGGTCCTTTGGTTTGGGTGACCAAAGGATGCATTTCTTTTCTTTTCTTTCCTTTTTTTTTTTTTTTTTTTTTTTTTTGAAGCCAGTTCCTCTTATGCCTACATCTTGATTGTTTGGGGTCTGTTTCCCCAGATACGTGGTACGCCCTTCTCTTAGTATATAGATTAAAGCCATTTGACGTTTCAGGCAGGTTTGTGGCGCTGCTGTTAACAGTTCTTAGCACATCCCGCTCCTCGCTTTGCTTTTCTTCCCTGGGGACCCCTCACCTTTGGTTGGTAATCCTTGCCTGTTTTCTGTGTCTGGCACTTTCTATTCCTGTTTCATTCCTGTTTTGTCAGCTCTTATCTGAGCTGCTGTAGCCATGAACTACATTCCTTCGTGTTTTGTGTCCCTTTCCTGACAATTCCGGTGTGTTTTGACACAATACATGATCGTTTTCATGTTTGTTGCTGGCATGACTTGAAAGGGGGTCTGGAGAGAGATTATTCCGACAGTCCTCTTTCTTTCTCTTAACAAGTTCATATGGGATTGAGCTGTGGTCCTTTCTCCCCTCCTCATTTTTGCATAAAATTACTTTTCCTGTACTTTCAAAAGAGGGAGTTGGCTGACATGACCTTTTTCCTAGTTTCTGGGCTCTGCATCCCCATTCTGTTGTCATAAAGCACCTCAGCCACCCTCTGCTGTCCCATGGACTGGGCGCCCTGTTGCTTTTCCCCACCTACACGCATGTCGGGGTGCACCCATGCATCTCGGGGTGCACTGGGGCACTTAACTGAGGAGGGTCACGGGTGGCTTTAGGCTTTGCCATTCTGATCACCCAATTTTCAAGGAAATCCAAAAATTATGCCAATTCTACCCCTAACGTCTCAGAATACTCTCAGGGACTTTTGACTAAAGTCAGATGGACTTTGAGTTATGGTTATCATTCTGCTGACGCCCCAGAAACCTGCGGTACAAGAACGAGGGGGACAGTAGACACTGCTTTCTGGAGGAGCTAAAACTACAAAACTTGCTTTAAATAGAAACTAGCTGAATTAAGGTATTACCTCAAAAGTGAATTGCTGTGCAATCCCTTCATTTAAAAAGGTTTCAGGGGCACCTGGGTGGCTCAGTGGGTTAAAGCCTCTGCCTTCAGCTCAGGTCATGATCTCAGGGTCCTGGGATTGGGCCCCGCATCGGGGTCTCTGCTCAGCAGGGAGCCTGCTTCCTCCTCTCTCTCTGCCTGCCTCTCTGACTACTTGTGATCTCTCTGTCTCTGTCAAATAAATAAATAAAATCTTAAAAAAAAAAAAAGTTTTCATATAATCAAGTGTTTGTACTTACCTGTTACGCAAATGTGATAGACATAGACCCAGTGGTAGAGGTTTGGGTTTTTTCTATAATAAACTCATCAGGAGCAGCTGCTTTTCTCTGGGGGATATACTTTGGTAATTTTTTCATTTATTGTGATGTTTTTGGCCTGTTGAAGTCTTCATCAGTTCAGTGTTTTAGAATGTATAGATTGGGCAGCTTATTTAGAAACACCTTTTTAAAAACTTGATCCCGGGGCACCCGGGTGGCTCAGTGGGTTAAAGCCTCTGCCTTCCGCTCAGGTCATGATCTCAGGGTCCTGGGATCGAGGCCCGCATCGGGCTCTCTGCTCAGCAGGGAGCCTGCTTCCTTTCTCAGTCTCTCTCTCTCTCTCTCTCTCTCTGCCTACTTGTGATCTCTGTCAGTAAATAAATAAAATCTTAAAAAAAAAAAAAAACACTTGATCCCGCTCCGTCTCTTTCTCTGCCTGTCTCTGTTCTCGGTTGCCTGCCTCCTCCTCTGAAGCCAGAGGTCAGGGAGTGCCGGGCTCACGGGGCCTGGAGGCTGCCAACCCCTCGCTTTCCCTCGGCAGTGAGGGAGATGCCCCTTCGTGATGGGGAGGGAACACAGCGGGACCCCTCACGCCCTTGGAGCTGGTCGCTCAGTTTACTTAGATCATCGCCTTTGAATTGAAAAAGAAGATGCACGTGCTCCCACGTGCCTTATCCTGACTGGAAAAGGAGGCCTGGCCGGTCGGCGGGCTAAGCCAGCTCCATGGGAGGCTGTCTGGCCTGAAGATACCGGAATCTCGTGGCGCCCGACTGTTGGCCGAAGGGAATTGGGCCGCGCCGTATTCTGAGGCCATGTCACGTGATGAGTGAGCGCTGCCCCCTGGTCTGGAAGGTCCTAGCGGTGAGAGTGTTGCTTTGGCCGCCTTGGGCGAGATGTGGTCGAGTGAGTGAGATGTATTTTGTGGTTAGATTTTTTAAAAATCAGCTCCTTTTTCAGAAGACATTCCTTATGGGTGACCTGCTCTCCACATCCAGGTGTGCGGCTCTCCCTGTTTCCGGGTGAGAGGGAAGGTAGACACTTCATGCTCTGCCCCTTCCCTCCCGTAGGTCTGTGATGAGGAATGGCATCACTTCGTCCTCAATGTGGAATTCCCAAGCGTGACTCTCTATGTGGACGGAGTTTCTCACGAGCCCTTCTCTGTGACTGAAGATTACCCGCTTCATCCGTCCAAGATCGAAACTCAGCTCGTGGTTGGGGCCTGCTGGCAAGGTAGCGGTCACTGGCACCCCTTCCCCGATCTCGGGACTTGAACCTGCCTCATGGCCATAGTGGGGGAAGCAGGCTCATCTCAGTGTCTTGCTCCTTACCCTCGTGTCCTTCATCTTGTCGTCCCTTCTCCTGGGCAAGGCCTTTCTGGGGACACTGCTGATGCCGTACTCTGGGGCGCTCACCAGCTGTGCGTTAGAGGACTGAAGCAGCCAGTCCCTTCGGGGAGCCTGGGAGGGAGCATGACCCGGAGGGAGAGTACAGTTGAGGGGTTATTTTATAAATTAATCTGTTTATTGAAAAGTTCACGAGAATTAGGAGGCAGCAGCTGATCAGGCACAGAACTGTAAGTGTACCTTGACCCAGAGGACTCTTCCAGAGCGGTCAGTGCCGGCTAAGCCAGCAGGAGCTGTGCTTGAAGGGGCTCCCAGACGTCTCCGCTACAAGACGAGGGATGGGTGACAGTCACCAAAACGACAATACCGTTTATTCGTATTTCTGACGGGCAGGCCGCATGCCAGTCACTTTATACGTGTTGTCTCACTAATCCTTAACAGTAAGTTTGTGGGGAAAGAGCGGTTTTTAGCCGCATTTTATAGGAGAAACTGAGGCTCAGAGCCCGGGGTTACCATGCTGAGTAATGTTGGCATCAGGACTTGAACCCCCGAAGCTGGTGCATCGAGAGCCTGTGGTCTGATGGGTGCCCCTTCTCGGGATAATTGTTTATTAGTCTATGAAACAAAAAGCATGTGATTTCCTGTGAAAACTGAACGAGAGTTAGCCAAGCACTAGAAGACTAATGTCTTGAAATGCTCACGCCTGTGCTGCTTTCCTAACGCATGGACAGACAAGCCCTGGGAGCACGTTTAGTAGCTGCGTCATTCGGAAGCGGTGACGGGCTGTGTGGCATCCGCACGGCCCAGCCGGTGGGAGAGGAGCGGGGACAGCCGGGCCACTGTGCTTTGGTACCGAAGGAAAGGTGACCCTCAGAAATTCGTAGAAGGAAGCGTGCCCAAGCTCATGGGCCCTCCGTCCACCCTCAAGGTTCACGACCTCACATGAACCCCACACTTGACAGGGTCACCATCCCCCTAAACAGACCTCGGAATATTTGTTTCTCCCTGTGGAAACATCGTACCTCGAGGTCGGCGAGAAAGTGACAGAATAGCCCAATTCCCATGACAGTGTTGCTTTAATTTCAGGGAATTTGAATTTTTGAGTTTCATCATTTTCCTGCAGAGCCTTTTATTTATTTATTTTAAAAGATTTTATTTATTTATTTGACAGAGAAAGATCACAGGTAGGCAGAGAGGCAGGCAGAGAGAGAGAGAGAGAGAAGCAGGCTCCCTGCTGAGCAAAGAGCCCGGTGCGGGGCTTGAGCCCAGGACCCTGAGATCATGACCTGAGCGGAAGGCAGAGGCTTAACCCACTGAGCCACCCAGGCGCCCCTCCTACAGATCCTTTTGAATGAAAAATGTCAAGACAGCATTTTAGAGTGAAGCTCTCTAGCTGACTCCTAGATTGAATTTCGGGGACAGTTCATCTATGAGAATGTGGAACTTGTGGCCAGGGAATGAGGAACAGATTTCCAGGGAAGTGGGAATTGTTATAGTTGTCTTTTTTTTCTTTAATTATTTTATTTATTTATTAGAGAGAGAGAGAGAGAGAGCATGCACAAGCAGGGGGAGGGGCATAGGGAGAGGGGGAAGCAGCCCCCTGCTGAGCCAGGAGCCCGATGCAGGACTCCGTCCCAGGGCCCTGAGATCATGACCTGCGCCGAAGGGAGACGCTTAACAGACTGAGCCCCCCAGGTGTCCCTCAGTTGCTAAGTCTTAACATTTCAGTCCGGAGCTGCTTCCCAAATTAAACAGTAACTCATGTTTTAAAAATAAGAATTTTTAAAAATAGGAATAAAAATCTGAATGCAAACCGGAGAGCTTTCTTGCTTGGGTCAAAGTAAAGCCCCTTTCTGGGCTGCCTCTGGGGCCTGTTTGGGCCACAGCGTCCGTCACGCAATGGCCATCAGCTTCCTCTCTTTCTGCCTCAGCTTCTCAAGATCCTCAGCCAGAAAAACATGCCTCAGCTCCCAGACCAGGCACGCGGCTTGTAAAATGTAGTTCCCCCGGAGGGGGAGATCTCCTTCCTCCTTCCTTACAAACTCACCGTGGCGGGCCCATGCTGTAAACAGCAGCCTCACGGCCATCGGCCAAAATGTCATCCCTAACGGGTTCCAGAGACACCCAGAGGCATGGTGGGAGTGCAGATGCGTACACCGGGCCTGTCCCCAGGCTGTCCCTGTGCCACTGCAGCACAGGAGGTGTGGGGGCCTGGGCCCTGGGCTGGGAAGTGCTCCCACGACACGGTCTGGAAAGTGGAGGGTCTCTGCTCGGTCACTGGCCGTGGGCCTCCCTGGCCTGGGGTTACTGTGAGAACACGGGGCCGGGGCCTGCACGGGGGGGTCCGAGGTTAGAGGCCCCAGGCCCACCACCCGTGACTGATTACCTGTTTCTCTGGGTGAGTTCCTTAACCTGGACTCTCCCTTTCTGTTCAGAAAAAGTGGATAAAAATGCCTTCATTTCTCTATGACTTAGGGGTTAAAGTCTAGACCAAAATGAACTTGTCTTGAGCTCAAAAAATACACACTTTTATGTGTTTACCGTACACAGACCAGGCTTTGGATGCTTACTGGTGCTGCCAGTTTGTCTAGGCAAGTGTTTCCATATTAGAGAGAGAAGAGCCACGGCCCAGGGTGTGGTTGTCCCGGTGCCTGCCCCTCTCTGCCACCTGTGTGAGCGGCTCTTCCCAACGCCCGCCCAGACGCCAGGCCTGGACGTCGGGAGTTCAGTGGGTGGACGTTGGTTCGTCTTTCTTTGAATGGGGCCTGGGTTTTGGCAAGGCAGGTGTGCGAAGGTGAGATAAAAGAAGAACGTGGAGAGGCAGGGAGCTGGGGGGTGGTAAGGCCCAGTGAGAAAGTGGTGGAGTACGAGCCTGCTTGCAGGGGTGGGAGTGTCCCAAGGGGGCCAAGACGGGAGGGAATTCTCTGTGTTTTATACTCGGTAGCTTCTCAAGACGAATTTTCGAGTTCCGGTGTGAAGAGGCTAACCTCTTGGTCCTTTTCTATTGTCTTTGTCTTGCTTTTCTGCAGAGTATCCAGCATTTGAAAATGACAATGAAACCGAGCCTGTGCCTGTGGCCTCTGCAGGTTGCTGGATCTTTCCCTACGGTTCACTCATGTGTTTCATTTAAAGACAAGACACCCGTTCATTCCACATTCCGCATGAGATGCCCGAGTTGCATTCTGGTCCCAGAGCCCCTATGAGCCACTGCTTTGCTTTATGCTCCCCGCACTGCTTCCCGGGAGTGACCCTCTTTTTGCCCAGTCTGATCCCAGTTGAAGTGAGGGCAAATGACTCATTAATGTCCTGCACTGATGGGACTCTCCGCCCCACCCCCCAATCAAATTTGACCCTGACCCCCCTACCCCGCTGCATGAGGCTCCCTGCTGAAATCTTACAGGCCCCATCAGGGAGGCCACCTCCTGGTTCCCCTGTGGCTGAACCATGACACAGGAAGAGATTCATTACTGGCTACTCTCTCCTGACCGGTACTAAACTTGAGACACACGTTTCTTAGAAGTCTCAGTCCCCGGTGATGGCTCACAGCGTCTAATGTCCTTATCATGAACAAGACGTGCTGTCGACTTTGGTCTCTTTTCATCATTGCGAAAATAAGTTCTGTTTCACCTGCTCTGGGCTCTCGGCTACAGCCTGTCAAGGGCCAGTTTCTGGGTCTCCGTTTTCCTTATAACACCATCAGTGCCCAGTTACCCTCAGTGGTGGGAGCCAGGCACGATCAGCCGTGCAAGGCGTCTCCTGTTCAGGCTGGGGGAGTAAGTGTCCCTTTAATCTTCCTAGTCCTGTCGGTGTGTGTTCCTTCCCAAATTTGTACATATCCACGAGTGTGCTCAGTCAGGAAAAGCAGCCCAGGGTGAGACCCAGCTGATGGAGAAGGCAGTGACCCAGGAGGCTGGTGCTGCTGGAAAATGTCACCAGTGCACCAGGGTGACGGTTGCAGTGTAGGCTGCCTTTTCCAGGGAGCAGCTTAGTTGCGTGGGGACACTCATGGGACCTCTTGGCTTCCGGGCTTCGGGTGAGGGACCCCAACACCTCTTCTCTCCAGGCCATATGCATGATCATAAACGATTTAATTTCTCCATTGCACTTCCATGTAGATCGCAAGGCTAACAGGATTTGGTACGAACTAACCCGCATGTCCCTCCATCCAGCTGCCACCACCGGTAACGCTACATTGCGAAGCAAAGCAGGAGGCCCCGGGCCGTGCGCGTAACTGCCTGCTCTGTTTCCCCGTGTCCCTAAGGCGGTGAGCTGCACATGACCCAGTTCTTCCGAGGGAACTTGGCTGGCCTGACCGTCCGTTCCGGGAAACTCGCCGACAAGAAGGTGATTGACTGTCTGTACACCTGCAAAGAAGGGCTGGACCTGCAAGTCCCTGAAGACAGCGGCAAAGGCGTGAAGGTGACCTTGGCATTGGCTCACAGGGCGCTCCCGACCTCCTCCAGCACCAGCATGCAGGCTGCTGGCAAAGGATCAATCCGTGATTGATCCTGACCCCTGTTGACTCACAACACCTCTAACCCTGAACGTGGTGCGGGGTGGGTTTCCACCGACCAGATCCCCAACTCTCCAGACACCTGCCCCTGCCAGGTGTCCTCCAGTTGGGTTCGGTCCTGACACTGCCCTGCAGGAGTTAGCGCAGACGCTGCAGGAGAGGAGGGCTCAGGCCCCCCGCACAGATGCTGCACGCAGGTGCCGGGCCCTTGGGTTACCCACACTTTGTCCAGCTTAGCCCCCATGATCCCCCCTCCTTTGGGTTTCAGTAATTTGCTTGAACTACTCAGAAAACTGCAGAAAAGACTTTGCTTATTATTGCTGGTTTATGATAAAGAATACAACTCAGGAACAAGCAGGTGGAGACAGTGTGGAAGGCAAGGAAGCGGGGAGGGCAGGGAGCTTCCCCGCCCCCTCCAGGAGCACTATCCTCCCAGCATGGGAAGCTCCCAAGCTCTGTCCTTCAGGGCTGTTTCCAGAACTTCTGTTAGGTGTGCACAGCTGGTTAAATCATTGGCCAGAGGTCAGGGTTGGGGCTGAAAGTGCCCTGCAGTCACACGGGCTCTGTGGCATCCAGTTCCGTCCTGAAACCATCTCAGCCACCCAGAAGCCACTCGTTAACACAGATGCTGGTGTGCTTGGAAGGAGCTTATTATGAGTAACGAAAGGTGCTCCTGTCACTCAGGACATTTCCAGGGTTTGGCGGGCAGAGAGTAAATACACACACACACACACACACATTTCTTTTTTTTTTTTTTTTAAGGTTTTATTGTTTTTAAGTAATCTCTACATCCAGCATGGGGCTTGAACTCACAATCCCGCAGTCAAGTCACACGCTGTACCCATTGAGTCCGCCAGGCGCCCCTGTGTTTCTTGTCCCACAGATGCATTCGTGCCCCTGGCATTTACCCTTGAAGGGGGGCGGGGGGGTCTTGTCTCGGCAGCTCTGTGAGGTTTCCTCCCCAGGTTCCCAATTCAGACCGACGCCCAGCTGACCTCTTTCTTTGCCAGACTGTGTGTGGTTTCAGTTTTTTGCAGTTCGAACCCTTTTTCTCTCCCCTCTGGCCTGATTTCAGATCCATACGAACCCCAATCAGTTGGCGTTGACCTTGGAGGGAGATGACCTCGGGGAGCTGGATAAGGCCATGCAGCGCGTCGCCTACCTGAACTCTCGACAGTTCCCCACTCCGGGGATCCGAAGACTTAAAATCACCAGCACCGTCAAGTACGGGCCGATTCTTAACTCTTGAGAAGAAAACACGTCTATTTAGGTTTTTAAGACACCCCAGTCCTCCCTTGTTACCGGAGGGCGTGGACGGTGGCATGAATGGTGTTGGGGACCTGTTCCGGGCCGGCCACTGCCTCTGGGCCCCCAGAGGCTTGGGGAATCCATGGGCCATCACGTGTGTAGCCTGCAGACCCACTTCTCGAAGCCCTGACCCTTGCCGCCTCCGTCGCTTGTTGGCAGGTGTTTGAACGAGGCCCCCTGCATCTCCGTGCCCCCGGTGGATGGCTACGTGATGGTGCTGCAGCCCGAGGAGCCCAAGGTCAGCCTTAGTGGCGTCCACCATTTCGCTCGAGCAGCTTCCGAGTTCGAAAGCCCAGAAGGGGTTTTCCTTTTCCCTGAGCTTCGCATCATCAGCACCATCACGAGAGAAGTGGAGCCTGAAGGGGAAGGGGATGAGGACCCCACAGGTAACAGCTCTGCTGGGCTGGTCCCCCTCCCCTTGGCTCGAACGTGGGTGGCTGGCGCCCCACGGCTGCTCCTTCCTGCATGCTTTTTCTCTGAGATTTTGAGATTTGAATGTTTGGATGTTATTCTTGGGTCTGCTCCTGGAATCTGACTCGGGGTCGAAAGCTCATTGTGTTCTTTGGAAAATCCGTCTGGAGAGTCCTTTCCTCTCTGGTGTGGTGTCCGGATCTGAGATGCCCTTGTGGAGGCCAAGAGGCTCCGGGCCCATGGCAGGGGACAGTGCTGCTCCTGCTGGCTATACGGCGGCCCCGCGTTCTTGGGCCGGCCCCGGGGGCCAGTCCTCCCAGACACATAAGGCACCCTGATTCTTGACAGGGCCTCTCCTGGACCTCTGTCGTCAGCCACTGAAAGGGCTCTGTGAGCTCGAGGCCAGCTAGCCGGCCACCTGGGGTGATAGGCCTGTCTGGGCTCCCCGGCCTCTGCCATTAGTGTTAGGTCTGTTCTTACAGTTCAAGAGTCACTGGTGTCTGAGGAGATCGTGCACGACCTGGATACCTGTGAGGTCACGGTGGATGGGGACGAGCTGAACCCCGCCCAGGAGAGCCTGGAGGTGGACACGGCCCGCCTGCGGCAGAAGGGCATTGCAGTGAGCGCTTCCGACCTGGGGGTGGTCTTCACAGGTGAGCGGGCCAAGGCCAGGCCGGGGTCCGAGCGGAAGCCTCAGTCCTGCGCACACACACACCCCACCGGCCATCCTCTCCGAGCTCTGGGAGAGTCCTGGGGACCGTGGCAGAGGAGAGGCTCAGCCTGGGCTGTTCAGCTTCTCCTGGCAGGAAGGGAAGCACAGGCATTGCCCTACTTCCTGTCCTTGCGAGGGGCTGACAGTGAGGCACGGGATGGCTCCCCACCCCCTGCTGCGGGACACGCGCACCCACTTGGTCCAGCCGCCCCCAGGCCTGACTTCGGCCTCCCTCGACTGTGGCTTTGACCCCAGCCAGTAGGCCACCTTCTTCCGCTGTCCCCATAGGTGTGGACACCATGGCCAGCTACGAGGAGGTGCTGCGCCTCCTGCGCTACCGGAACTGGCACACCAGGTCCCTGCTGGACCGAAAGTTCAAGCTCGTCTGCTCGGAGCTCAATGGCCGCTACGTCAGCAACGAGTTTCAGGTGGAGGTGGGTGCTTGGGTGCCCCGCTATGGCCCCATGTTCAGAGCATCCGTGAGGCACCTGTTGGGTTGCGTCCAAGTGCGCTAGGCTTTCCCGGCCTGGGGGTCGCCGATGTGCCCCTCATGGGCATCTGAGGGGCCTCTGGAAGGAGGTGGAAGAGCTAGAGGCAGGTGATACCTCGTGAGTAGAGCCAAGGTGGTTTGTTGAGATTTGATGCTGCTTGAGAAAGAGCAGTTTCCAGGGAACCGAAGATTCTCTGCAGACTGCTGGCCCGGGCAGAGGGCTCCTGGCGCGGGGCCGGCCCGGAGAGAGGGGTGCTGTGCTGTCTGCTGAGCCTGGTGGTGGCATCTCATGGCACGGTGGTCACAGAGAGCTCACCCTGCTCAGACGTCTTCCACAGGCCTGGACAGCAGCCCTTTCCTCACTCAGGGCTTCTGTGGTCTGGAGAAAACGGGCCCAGAGTTACTCTCAGCCATCGAAGGTCTGCATGGTAACCTCAGAGCAGCCAAGTGCTGATGTCTCAGTGCTGAGGAATTGATGAGGGTTTTGTTTGAGCCAAAAGCTAACAGATTTGGAAGGAAACCAATGGTTCTGATTTGTGCTTTTTCACTTGGCTGTGGTTTGGGGGAAAAGCAGGGAAATGGTCTATGCCAGGGCTTCTCGAATGACCTGCAGCTGACAGTGGTGGTGGTTTTTCTGGTCTTTTGTGGACAGATTCTTTTATGAAATACAATAAAAAGGAATTCCTAGAACCACATTCTGTTTCTGGGATCGCCGACAGTACTGGGCAGTTAGGACGGTTTCTGAGAGCTGAGCCTCAATTTTTCTCTGTTCTCATGTCATCGGCTCAGCAGGGTCCAGGGACCCCTTCCAGTCGCACTAGTCCCAGTAGCTTCTGGACTGCGTTTCTGCTGCTGGGCCACGTTCAGGCTGCTGTGTGTGTCTCTGGTGCAGGTGAACGTCATTCCCGCGGCCAGCCCCATGGAGCACGCCAGCCACATGGCCGCGCAGCCCCAGTTCGTGCACCCGGAGCACCATGCCTTCGTCGACCTCTCAGGGCACAACCTGGCCAGCCCCCACCCCTTCGCAGGTAGGACTGCGGGGCAGAAGCAGGGCCGTCTGCGTCGGTCCTGGTGGGGGATGCCCTCCTGCGTCCTGCTGGAAGCCCAGCCCCCAGTCTGAGCAGCCCCGGCCGGGCTCCATGATTCTGTGCCTCCCACGAGGGATGAAAGCTCCAGCAGGGCAGCCAGGGGCCAGCGCGGGGCTGGAGACCTGTGCTGAGACTTTCCTCACATTTCTTCCTGTTCTCTGGGGTCAAAGCCGCTGTGTGTGCATGGGGCCCGGGGGCCGGCGCCGGCCTCACCGCCCTGTCTCCCCTCGGTTGCAGTTGTCCCCAGCACCGCCACGGTAGTCATTGTGGTGTGTGTCAGCTTCCTGGTCTTCATGATTATCCTGGGCGTGTTCCGGATCCGGGCTGCTCACCGGCGGACCATGCGGGACCAGGACACCGGGAAGGAGAACGAGATGGATTGGGACGACTCTGCCTTGACCATCACTGTAAACCCCATGGAGGTAGGTGCCGGCAGGCGGCCCCTGTGACTGCATGCCCCTGAAGGCCAGAGCAAAGTGACACGCGCCCCAGAGAAGCCATGTGGCCATGGCACCTCCACGTAATTAAGTGGCTTAAATGTCATGTGACCCACATGATAAGTTGGGGAGGTGCAGGTGTCCCCATTCTTCAGGTGGGCAAACTGAGGGCCCAGAGAGGACTTATCCCAGCTCGTGCCACCCCGTCAGGGGAGAAACACACTCCCTGCCTGTGACGGACCCCGTGGGTGGCAACCAGAGCTCCATTTTCCCTTCCATCTGGGATGAGGTTACTTCCAGAATAGTCCAGCCCTCCCTCGGCGTGGAGTTCCCTTCCTCTGCGGTTCCTGGAGGGTGAACATCCGTGGACACTCGGCTTGTGCACAGAGAAGGGGGCCCCGGGCTCAGTTCCCACGCTGTCTCTTTGTCAGACGTACGAGGACCAGCACAGCAGCGAGGAGGAGGAGGAGGAGGAGGAAGAGGAGAGCGAGGATGGGGAGGAAGAGGACGACATCACCAGCGCCGAGTCAGAAAGCAGCGAGGAGGAGGAGGGGGAGCACGGGGACCAGCAGAACGTGAACAGGCAGCAGCAGCTGGAGTGGGACGACTCTACCCTCAGCTACTGAGCCTCGAGGCCGCACCCCCGCCTCCTCTCTGCGTCAGGAGACCCTGCTGTCGTCTGTCCTCCCAGCCCCAAGGGTCCACGGTGTACAAAGTCATTCTGGCCAGTAGGTCTGCAGACCCTCCCCATCGCTGACCATCTGCCTGTGCTTGGTGTGTAGGCCCCCCGCCCTCCACCCAGACCGCCCCGAAGCCATGCGGGGAGCTGACGCGCACTCCCCGCACCTCACTCTGCGCGGCCCCCTCGCGCCCCCGGAAAAGCTGCAGTGACTGGACTCGTTGACAAAGGGTTAAAATTGCTCAATCCCACCTCGTAATCCTGTTTTCCTGCTTTTTTTTTTAAAGTTTTTATTTTTTCCAAACTAGTGCATGTATAAAATGGCAGAGTGGGGGTTAATATGTAGATGATGAACTTTTTAATATTTTGTAAATAAACTGGGATTCCTCATGTCCTCCATGCTAGCGTGACCCAGGACTGGCATGCAAAGTGAAGCTTGACTCACAGCACAGGAGACACCCCGCGGGCTCCTGCCCACCCCCGCCCCGAGAGGAGAGGGCCCTGCCCCACTCGGTCTTTGCCACGTGCACCCGCTCAGCTGGTGGCCAGGCAGTGAGGGAGCGCGGACTTGCCCCCCCGCCCCCTGGAACCAGCCCGCACTGCTCAGCGGGAGGGAACTGGATCGGGAACCCCTCTCTGGAGGCTGGAAACGGCCAGGCCTTTCCTGTGGGATTCTACCCATTTCTGACGTGGCAGAGGGGTGGGAGTGCCGGGGCGGCCGGCAGCTCCTCGCGCAGGAAGTCGGACTCCTCGTGCGCAGCCTTGGGCGCTCACCTCCTGGATGTCCGGCGGCCTGCGGGTGAGGGTGCGGACGGGCGGGGCACAGCGTCTGGCCGCTTGGTTTGGAGGCAGAACAGGCCCAAGTGGCCATACTTAGAACGCCCGAGGCCAGACGCACTCCAAGTACGCCCTTGGCCCGAAGGCAGAGTGCCAGCTTCCTCCCCCCGACAGCCCGAGGGAAGCCCCACTCCCTGGAAGTGGGGAGCGCTGCTGCTCGGCCTCGCGAGGAGGAGGAGGAGAGGACAAGTCCTGAGCTGAAACTCCTACGGCACTTTGTTTTTAATTCTCATGTAAAGTCTTAGATTTCTAAAACGGGGGAAATCATTTTGAATCCTGTTCTGTGATCGTAACTGCTAGTTTCGAGGACACCGCGGCTGTCCTGCGTCGTGTGTGGCCGTCCTCCCCGTCCTGTCACTGTAGCTGCTCCGTGTAGACAATGATAGAGGCTAGCGCGGGCTCCGCGTGGGTCGCTTTCCGGATGTGTATATTGACGAGGTCAGAACGTGTGTACACTACAATAAAGTGCGGTTCTAACTCCAGGGGCAGAGTGTGTCAGGTCTGGTCCTGCCTTTGTTTCAATCCTGCATCCACTTGCTTTTTTTGTTTTTTATTTATTGTTTTTTCAGGTTTTGTTTTTTTTTTGACCTGAGAACACAACATAAAAAGGCCTTTCTTTCTTTTAGTACACGTTTACCTCTCCCCTCAAGGCTTCACAGAGTGCTGGTCTTCAACCCACATCAGTTATGTTGAACGCACCTTCCCCATACAGAAACATTATAAGACTTAAAAAAAGAAAAAGAAAATACTCTTTTCTCCAGGCACACAGGCCGTGTACCCAAACCAGAACGCCAGGAAGCAGAGACTTGTTTAAATAAATAACATAACATAGAGACATACACTCGGCTTCTCCTATTTCCAAACCGGTGAGGCGGGGCGAGTGAGTTCAGCTCTTTGCTGGGGACAAGAGTGTGGCCAGTGGTGTTCTGTGGGCAGCACTGTCTGCTTCTGGCTGCTTCTAACTGAAGAAGGTGGTCCAGAGAACAGCCGCTCCCGGCTCTGCCAGGCCTTGCCAGGCCTTTGAGAGACCAATCATAGAGCTGGGCGGGGCCCAAGGTGGTGGCTAACATTAGGCTCACCCGTGGCTTCGAGAAGCCCAGATTCTCAGCCCCCTCTCCAGAGACAGCCTCAGACAGCCGGGAGGGGCCCAGGAAGCGGGCATTCTAGAGCTCTTCAGGTGCACCAAAGGCAAAACCTGAGCTGCTTCAAGCCAAGTCCCGTCAGAGACAGACATTCCATCACCGACTGGACTCGCGCTTCTGAGAGCTGTTGCGCACGCAGGCTAAAGGGGGGAATTTTGGAGATCAAGCCCTCCCGTCCTCAAAACCTGCTTTATGAGGCAGGAGACAGGTAACTGCACGGAGTACTCTGACCGCGTTCGCCTTGACCCACGGTGGCGCGCCAACCAAGCTCCCATCTTTTCAATGTCTTGAGGACCAGCATATATTAAGCTTTATGGGGCTGGGGCCATTCTGAGCCATCGAGGTTCAGTGAGTAGTTTGGCTACTTTCTTTCTTACCCGCAAACAAAATCGCTTTACAGCAGAGAGATGAGAGAATTCCCGTACCCAAGAGTCACTTTAAAAGTGGAAAGCAAGCATCCCTGAATCTGGAGGGTGCCCAGGCTTCCTCTGGGAGCTGCCCGGCGCTTGGTCAGTGGAGAGCACGAAGGTGGAGGGGGGCATGGAGTCATGGGCGCCCTGTCACCAGGGCGACCGCCAGGCGCCAAGCCCCGTGCAGCCCAGCCAGAGCCGGGGAAGAAGGCAGGCCTCCCGGTGGCGGTGGCAAGAGCAGTCTTGGCTGGGTTCTGATTCACCAGCTGGAAGACTCGGGGTGACAGTCCTTAGCAAGACGCAGCCTCGGAGGTGCCTGACTCACAGTGTCTCCCCTTCAGAGCCCGGGGCTCGGATCGGGGATTGCTGGAGGACGGCGCCCCTCCCCTGCACAAAGGATGCATTTCCATTTATGGCTGTTTAGCTCCTGAAACATTTCAAGTCATAAATAAATAACCAGTGTAAACAAAGGCTGTGTATAGGTTCTCGCCGTGGGGTTCCATTCAGGCTTTCCGGCCCCAAAGGACGGCCGAGGGTGCCGGGTGCCCGGAGCCTGTGACGGCGGCTCGCGGGCCGCTACTGCCTGTTGTCCTTGGACACGTTGTGGGCCAGCCAGTTCACTTTGGTCTTCCAGCTCTCCCGCAGGGCTTCGTTGAACTTCACCCGGAAGTGCTTCAGGGCCTCCTCCTCTGTCTTTCCCAGGGCCAGAGAGTCCTGAGGCAAAACCGGAAATCAGTGAGCGCCTCCCCAAGGAGGGCGACCGCCCCACCCCCTGCCCCGAATATGGTAAATTCCCTCTGCAAAGAATTGCAGGAAGGCAGTCAAGAGACCGCCGTGGCGTCTCCCCTGGAAAAAGCTCTGTTCTGATCCCAAATCAAGATGGGCCTCCTGACCCACCTGCCAAGTAAGATGCCAACTCCAGCCAGGCAGCAGGCCCCCAAAGTCCCCGGAGTGGGACAGGTGGCCTCACCGTCTGCACTGGAAATGAACTTTGGGCAGGGAGTGGGGGGTGGGGGGTGGGGCAGCGCCATTCTGCACGAACCAGGCACCAAAGAGGGGCTCGTCGGTCACGACTGACCACCCTCCCGACCCCCAGTTTCTCCCACACTGAAAAGCCATAGGAGGGCAAAGCATCTTTAGATGAAGAGAGAAGGTATCTAATCCCGCCCTCCCGTCTGAGCGGAACCACCACAGCCAACACGGGACAAGAGGGTGGGCCAAGGGGGGTCCCGACACACTGGCCACAGGACCAGGCTGACGCCACCAGGCCCCATGGCTGGGTCACAGGGGCCTGAGGCACCCGCGCAGGGAGTGCCCTGTGGGGTCTAGGTCATGGGAGGCCTGAGGAACCCGCGCGGGGAGTACCCGGTAGGGTCCGCTGTGCTCACAGGCAGGCCTTGGGGACTCGGCGGCAGGCGGGGCTGCCCGGGCGGACCCTCTGGCATTTACCTTGAGATACTGGATGTCTTTGGAGCAACTGAGCTCAGGCAGACCAGCGGCCCGCATCAGGGCAAAGAGGTGGAGAAACAGCAGCCCGTGGCGTCGCAGGATGGTGTAGGCGCGTTCGCAGTAACCCCGGAATCTGCAGGGGATGCAGGAAGGTGGGAGGTGGGGCTCCGAGTGCTCCCCGACATTCCCACCCTGCTGGGGCCCTGGAAACCGCCCCCACTCCCTCTGACCACTGCACCCGCACCTTTTCCTGCAGGACCCGACCCTGAGCCCAGCCCGGGACTGCCGCCCTCCCCCCACCCGAGCACCCTCACCTTTCAAATTTCTCACTGTTGTTCGTCTTCCCCTGCTGGATCACGTGCACAAAGTCATAAGTGAGGATGAATGGGACTCGCTCACGGTTGATTCCAAACTTGGTCTTGAAGTTCCCCAGAAAGTGGCCAAAATCAATATGGAAGAGCTAAGAAGAGGAAAGGACAAGCGGTCAGAGAAGAGAGGCCCCGGGTCGGGAAGCGGGTGCCGGGAGGGAGGGAAAGCGGGGAGGGCCAGGGGCGCCGCCCACACGGCCGCAGGCTCTGCCCCTACCTGCCCGTTCTCACGGATCATGATGTTGTCGCTGTGCCGATCACCGATGCCCAGCACGTAAGTGGCCACACAGTAGCCAGCACAGGAGAGGGTGAACTCCTCGATGGCGCGATCCAAGGCCTCCCTGTGTGTGCGTTGGTGGGAAGGGGGATGACCCACCAGGGCCACGCCATTTCCCAGCAACTTCTACCAAAAGGTGAGTCTACGTCCCCTCCCCTTGAATGTGGCCTAATGATGCGCTGGGACCAATGGGACAGAGAGGAAGCGGTGTTGGGCTCCTCCCACAGCCTCGGCCTTCAGACACTTGGCAACTGTCCAACTAACCTGTTCTCAGGGAAGGAAGCCAAGACTGGTCCACTCACGGTGGTGGGGAGGGCCACACGGAGACATGGGACTAGGGCCAGCCAGGCCGGTCAAGCAACCAGCTGTGCACAGTTCCATGAGTGGTTCAAGGTCAGAGAACCACTCCGCTCAGCCAGCTCAAGCTGCAGGTCTGCAGGCCCGTAGTATCTGGTGGTGATTTCACGTCCCTAACAGTTAACTGACCCCTGGGAGAAGGGAGACCCGCCCCGCCCCAACAGAGCAGACCTGGTCCTCCGCTGAGCCACGAAGCCATGAGGACTGTCAATGGCCCTGCCCCTCACCCTTGACTCCTAAACGGCAGCTTTTGGAAAGGAGAGGCCTCTGTCCCCGGGGCCCAGAGCCTACCCAGGGTTCTTGGACTTGAGCCAGTTAAGCAGCGCGTCCTTGTTGAAGGCAGCCGTGGCCGCCATGTTGCTTTTGTTCAGCTGGATGTTGGCGATGGTGTCTGAGTGAAGCACCACCTCGATGAGGCCCGTGCGGTCCCCGGTGGAGAGGCAGCCGTAGGGGGTCATCCTAGCCAGAGGGGAGGAGGGGCAGGGAATTGCCCAGGTCACAGGCTGTCCTTGGGGCGGCTCGACACTCCGCCCCACTCAGAGCAGCTCAGTACAGCCAAAACAGCCCCAGGAGATGCTGCAAGGGAGGGGAGAAGTGCTGGGGAGGAGTCCCGGATGCCTGGACTCCGGGGGAAGGCTCCCGGGAGACATCAGCCCAGCATCCAAGATGCACCGAAGAAACGGCGGCACTCTGGCCGAGCTCATGTTTGCTCAGAGAGAAACGCAGGTGGTCTGGAAGAGGAGGCCACCGCTTCCCAAGACGGGGCAGGCGGCCCGGGACGCGTGGGGCAAAGGAAACAACGGAGCGAGACTGATGCTGAGTGCCAGGCCTGCCCTCCTTCTCCCTCCCTCTACGGCCCTATCGCCTCCCTTGGCCCTAATGTAAACCGGGCTCCGCTCTTCTTCAAGCGACCCCTTTTCCAACGGAGGTGGCCCTGCTGGCTTTGACAGAGGATGCCTCCAAAGGGACAGGGTCCCAGGCCTGCAGCGAGGACAAGCAGATGACAGGATGGCCTCTCACCTCAGGTCCAGCCCCTCCTGCTTCCACAAAACATCCATGAGCTGGATCATCTGAAGCGTCAGCATGTCCTGGCGGAGGTCTGGACAGCCGCCCCCGGGAAGGAAAAGCAGGAGCTTCTGGTGGGCTCTGCACCCCCAGCCAGGCCCAGGCCCCAGAGTGCCAGGACCCCACCTCCTCAGCCCACCTCCTCCGCAGAGCTCTCCCCGCCCGCCTGCTCACCGTCCCCGTTCTTGAAGATGATGCCTACGCTGCCGTCGCTGCCGGCCTCCTCGTTGCTGTACATCACCCACAGCGGCTTCATCTTGGAGTCCATGAAGGTGCACTGCTCCACGCTGCGGGCCAGAGAGCAGTGAGCGGGGAGCGCGCCCTCCGGGGGCCTCCGGCAGGGCGGGGCGCGGGGCTCACCAGACTTCAGCCAGCAGCGTGCTGGGGTCCAGCGGGGACTGCAGGTGGGAGAGGGCCTCCAGGTAGGTCTCCTGGCGCAGGCACAGGTGCATCAATTCCTTGGTCTGGGGCTTGGTGGTCTTCTGGGAGCTCACTTTGACGAAGTCATTGAGGGCCTTCAGCTTGCTCAGCGCCTCGCCCTGCAGGGAGAACCGGACCGTAGGCCCAGCGTGGGAGGCCCGGAGGGGGCGGGGCTCCGAGCCTCAGCCCCGCCCCCGGGGAGGGGCTCTAGAGCAGCAGACCCCGCGCCTCACCTGCTTCATCAGCACCTTCATGTGGTGGGTGCTGCCCCTGCAGTAGGCCTCCATGATTAGGCCAAAGCGCAGAGCCACGGAGGGCACGTGCATCTCGGAGCTGGAGGGAGGGAGGGACGGCTGAGCGGCTGCCTGGCAGGGCCACGGCCCGGGGCGGGGGCTGGGGTGGGGGGGGAGAGACCCGAGCGGAGGTGGCAGGTGGCCAAGGGGTGCGCTACCGAAGGTGCCAGAAGAGGAAGTGGCCGATCTTGCGGTTGGCCAGCGCCCGGTCCAGCAGGAACTTGGTCAGCTCGCAGTCGAGGTAGGATTCGTACTTGAGCACCTGCACCAGCTGCAGCAGGTACTGGAAAAGCTCATCGTCCCTGCGGAGAAGGGAGGCCGGCCTCACCTGAGCAGACCCCAGGCCCCGTGCAGTCCTCCCTGCCACACCCCCCGCCACAGGCACGGGCTCCACCCCCCGGTGCACACGGGACCGAACCGCCCGGCCAGGAGCCGGGAGCCCGTGGGACTCACGTCAGCTTCCGCAGAGACTTGATGGCGAAGGAGCCCACGTGGCGGTCAGGGAAGCTGAAGTCCAGCAGCTCCAGGGCGCTCAGGACCGGCAGCTCGGGCCAGGAACACAGCAGGTAGAGCATCTGGGGGAGCCGGATGACCGTCATGGTGCCGCTGGGCAAGAGGCCCTCCCCTCCATCCCCCCACCGGCCCCACCCGGCCCCCACCTGGGCCACATCCTCATGCTTGTTCCACTTGGTGACCAGCAGCAGGCGGGCCAGCGCCTCCGGGAAGCGCTCCTGGACCTCATGCCGCATCTTCCACACCAGGTCCTTCTCGTGTTCGTACAGCTCCCCGGACCCGCGCCGCTCCAGGATCTCCCGTAGCTGTAGCTGCTGAGGGGGGGGCAGGCAGGGTGAGCTGCGGCCCAGCCGGGCGCCCCACCACCCCCAGCCCCCCGCTCACCTCCTCCTCACTGAAGCGCCCGTGCTCTCCGTGCCGCCCCAGCTCCAGAATCTGCAATGAGCGGCTCCATGTCAGCAGGGACCCGGACCCTGGGCCAGCCCTGGCAGGGCCCCCGAGGATGTGGGGTGGAGGGCAGAGGGTGTGTGTCAACCCTTTGGCACCCCTGACCTTGGGGTGAGTGCTGTCCTGTGCCCAGCATCCCCGGCCTCCACCTCACAGATGCCAGGAGCATCTCTCCCACCAGCTATGACAACCAAAAGGGTCTCTGAACCTTGCTCAAAGTCCCCTGGGGAGCCACATGGCCCTGACCGAGAACCACTGTTCTAGAGCACATGAGGGTTCTGGAGAATCAAGGAAGTCCCCAACTGTGCGTGCTGACCAAGCCCCAGCCCTGGGCAACTCAGGGGATGGGTGGCGGGAAGCCCAAAGGCGGCGTCAAGAACAGTCATCCTGAGCCCCACGGCCTCTGGACCATCGCAGACCCTGGATGGCGAGGGGGCTGACCTTGTCCAGGGTGGGGTAGTACACAGGGTAGGGGGCCACCTCAGGGAGGCAGATGACAAGGGCCGCAGCGCTCTCTGTGTTGGGGTTGCTCCGCACTGTTCCCGCGGGGTTCAGCAGCTCCCCTTTCTCGTCTGGACACAGGGACAGACGGGAGTTGCCTGGGGAATGCCCCCCCCCAGGAGCGCACTCCCCCACACCTCTCCCTTCTGCCTGGACGGACCTGGGACAGACGGCCACATGTAGAGGCAGCATTCACCGGTCTTGAGCTGGTCCTTGTAGTCAAACAGCATGAGGTTGGCCCAGGCGATGGGGCAGTCCTGGGAAAGACCACGGGCAGGTCAGGGCCAGCAGCCGCAGAGGCTGGGCTCGCTCACTGGCAGGACGGCCATCGCCTTCAGGCCGAGCTTCCCCGCCCTCACCCAGACTCCCTGGGAGGAAGCAAGCATGATCAGCCACCTCTCGGCTCCCTTCTGCTCTCAGAGGCATCCCTACTTCAGGTTTCTTGAGAAGCCCCCAAACCAACCACACCAGCCCCAGATGGCTGGCCCAGCTCGGCAGTGGGGTAAGTCGGTGTGGCTCAGTGTCCAGTCACATCCTGGGCCTGGTGACTCAGTGCCCAACCTCCATTCATTCCCTGCTGGCAGCTGACTCAAGACACGCTGCTCCCTGTGAGGACAGTGTGTCTGTCCTTCCAGCCCAGAGAGCGGCCTCCAGGTTCCTCCAGATGCCCCCAAGTCCACCCCTGACCGTCAGCCCTGAGACCCAGAGCTGACACATGGCAAGGATGGTGGCCAGAATGGGAGATGGGGTATAAGAGGGAGGGTCGCCCCTATCCTCCATCCCCGAGGTGCACCCCTGCTGGGAGTGGACGGGGGTGGCCCTGGCTCACAGCACACCAGCTCCCAGAGGCCTGGCCCCAGCCTCCCAGGCAGTCCCACCCACCGCCTTCTTGGATTTCTTCTTGGTGGAGCGAGCCTTCTTGGCCTTCTCAATCACGGCGTAAAGTGCAAAGCAGAGACGGGCCATGCGAGGTAGGTCGCAGATGTTGATGTCGAACTCCAGCCGCTGTTTCCACACGGGCTCAGAGCACACGCTCACCTCCGAGCTGGACACCGTCTTGCACAGCGTCTCGTTGCCATGGAAGAGCCCGGCCTGCACCACCAGCTGGGGGAGGCACGGGTGTCGGGGGCCAGGTGCCAGACAGCCCGACTCCCTTGCCCCTCTGAGGCTCTCCCACCCACCTAAGGCTCAAAGCTCCTGCACGTCTTCATTTCCCACGGGTCCGAATCCCACTTGCCCCTCGGAAGAAAGCGGCACCGGAGGGGGACAGCTGACTGCTTGAGTGGGACAAGGGGCCACAGGATGAAGGGAAGGGCACCATGGGCTATGCATGGGCTCCCCACGACTCTGTGGGGCTCCGGGGATGTCGTTTCCCCGCTCAGGGCCTCAGTTTCCCTACTGGGGTTTGGGAACTCCAGGGGTCCTTCTGGCTCTGAAACCTGCGAGCTCCCTCCACTGCTCAGAATCATATGAGCCCCGAGAGCAGGCAGGATTTCATTTCACCAGAACACCCTGCCCTGTGTCCTCCAACTCCGCCCTGGCAGCCCTCGGGGCCCAGCCAGAAACCCGCCTCCAGCTGGGGCTCCAGGGTGCCGTCAGGGAAACCCAGCCCCGCCTGCTGTGAAATCACCCCGACAAAAAGTGCTCCACCAACAGACCAACCTCCGTGGACCCAGGAGTAACGTCCCGCACATGGGACAATAAGACCCTCCTGGGGACGGAGGGAGATGGGGTGTGTGACCAACCCCCGAAATGGGCTCGGCCCCCAGGGGTCGAGGCAGCACGCCTCCCAAGTGCTTCCTGGGAGTCCCAAAGCCCCAGGGCCCAGCCGGGGCCGCCCCTCTCCCGCACCTGTCACCTCCCAGACCCTGCTCTGTTCCCACTTCCCTGGGCCTGGCCCCACAACTTCCACCCGAGTCAAATACCCAGAACTCGCTGAGCCTGGTTTCTACGAATTAGCCACTGGCCGGCCAGCCAGCTCCCCTCCCCCCTTCCTGTTTTGAAGCAGCTCACAGCCACCCCAGGCAGGGATTCTGGGTAATGTGGTCAGGTGGCTTTCATGTGACCCCCCCCTTCTTCCTCTGCCACCCCTCTAGACCACAGCCACCTTGTTTGTGCAGAAAACATCCCCGCTGCCCCTAGGAGCCCCCTACCTTCATCCGCTCATCGGCATTCACTTTGCTGCCCTGAATCAGCTCCACGCAGAAAGGCTGTTCCAGGGACCACAGGGATAAGGAGGAAGGCTGGGGCGGGCCAGAGGGGGAGAAGCAGGGCCGTCAACACAGAGGAATCCTGGGGAAGCTCCTGAGGCTAGTGCCCCTGGCCACTCGTGGGTGGGGTGCGTGTTGCCGGTTGGTGAGAAGGCTTAGATGCCCACCCATGATACCAAGATACCACGATCTGCCAGAAAGCCTGCCGTGCAGGTAGCCCAGGACCCCCGGAGCTCTGCTAGGCATGGCGCTCTGCCTCTCTCTCTCCAGAGCGGGGGCAGGAAGAACAGAAGCGCAGCCCATGAGCCGGGCCTGGGGCTGCCCCGGGAAGCTCAGACAACACCCCCCGCAACTGCACACTGGTGGAGGGCCAAGTTCAAGGCCCAGCTCTCAACACCGACCCACCAAGGAGCATGAGATGAGGGGCCCTGGACCGGCCCCCAGCCCTCAGCGTTGCCACTAGGCTCCAGGGCCGGACAACAGCGGGGAGGAAGGGATGGATGGGGGGGGGCGGTGGAAGGCACCAACTCACCTTCTTCATGGGAATGGGGGGTGGTTTGGTGCGTGGTTTCTGGACTTGGGGGGCGGGGTCGCTCTGCTCATCCCGCATGGCGAGGATGGAGGAGGAATGCACCATGGTCAGGTGGGGGGTCAGCCCGCTGTGTAGACAGCTGCAGATGTACTGTGATGGGGGGTGGCGGGCAGAGTGAGCGGCCGATGGGGCAGCCCCAGCCATGCCTCAGCCCCAGGGACTCCCCAATACCCCCACTGCCGATCCCAGGCCTTCCTGGCCTCTCCTGCTGACCCTTTGGCCCCCCACCCAATTCCTGAAGATGGAGCCCTCCTTGGGGCCCCGGGGAGGGCAGCCCAGTGAGGGGACACTCTGGCTGTGACCCCCAAAGGCCCAGTTCCCCCTGACCAGCTGGGCCCTGGCCCGGGGCCCTGGGGAGCCCGGGAGCGCAGGGCCCCTCCCAGACCTCAGCCCTCACCTGGAACTGGCAGAGGGGGTAGCTGCCGTACAGGTACTCGTGCTTCCCGTTCACCTGCAGCGTGTAGTCCTCGGGCTGCTCCACCAGCGGCTGCCGGAACACCGTGGCCTTCTTCCGGAGGGCACAGGCCATCAGCGCCAGCGGCACGTCCTTGCTGGACACCTGGAAGGTGAAGCTCTCCTAGGGGGAGGAGGGAGGGTCAGCCCTCCACCCTCGCAGAGGGCCCATGGCTTCCAGGACGCAGAGGGTGGCCCTGCCTATTTGTCTGGAATGAGCCCCTCCCCCCCCCCAACGCCGCCCCGAACGTGAGGCAGAGTCTGATGAAGGCACACGGCCGACAGCCCAGAAACAGTTACTAAACGAATGAATGGACCCATGACCAAGGCCGTCTGGTCATTCGGCCTCGTCCAACTTGCCCGGTGGAACATCTGCCTGAGCCCCTCGCGGGCATGGGTGCCCTGCAAGTCCCAGCCAGTGCCACCGGGAGGACAGCGGACCCAAGTGCTGGGGGGGGGCTGGGAAGTCTCACGGGGAAACGTCCCTGCAGCTCGGGCGCTGCAGACAGGCCAGCATCCCCCACAGGGGCCATGGGCTCACCTCGCTGCCCTCAAACTTGACGTTGACCAGGAGGGCCCGGTTGGGGACCCTCAGGGTGCCGGCCCCCCAGCTCCGAGCCGAGGGCTCCAGCTGCAGCGGGAAGCTGTACTGCAGCCAAGCCTCCCAGCCCAGCTGCTGCCGCCGCGCCGCCGCCTCCTCGCAGAACTGGCGCATCTTGGTGCGAAAGGCATTCACCTCGGGGTCGTGCAGGGAGTCGAACTCATGGAGGCCTGTGAGGCGGGGAGGCTGGGTCAGCGCGGGGGGGGCGGGGGGCGGGCTAGGGCCGGGGGCCGGGGGCTGGGGCCAGCCCACCCACCCGCGGGTCACCTTTGCCGATGAGGAGGCTGATCTGGGAGTTGACCAGCTTCTTCACTCTGTCCCCCTCTCGGGCCACCAGGCGCAGCACGGGCAGGAAGGGCTGGATGTCACAGAGCCGCCGCTGCTCGTCCTCCAGCTCCTGCTGCTCCGCGGTCTGGTTGACGCAGGTGAACACGTAGGCCTCGGGGTCGCTGAGCATGTGGAAGAGCGGCTCATACTGGGCTCGGTGCCACAACACCTGAAGGGACAGCGGCCGGTCAGCCCCTCGGCCAAGGCATGCAGGGCCATGGGGAGTCTCGAGGTGGCTGGGGGCAGGCCTCAGCCTGGGGGTTCTGCCCTGCATGTCCCCGACCAGAGGGCAAAGCCGAGATCCCCAAACCCTGTCCTCTCCAGACCCCGTGAGCGCTGACCCCACGGGTCTCCTGAGCCTCCATCGCTACCCTTCTGTGGAGGGCGCCGGGTCCACGCCGAAAGCCTGCCCAGTCTCCCCTGTATGTTACCCTTGAGAGACAGCCGGCCGGACATGACCTCCAGGCAACCCTCCCCCGCAGCTAATCATTCTGGGGTTCTGATTTCCAAATGTTGGCAACAGATTCAGAAAAGCTGAGCACACCAAGAGAGCCGTCAAGCCCTCTATGGGCTGTGTTCAGCTAGGGCGGTCAGCGGGTGCCCTCAGGATGAGGTGTCCCCAGGGGACCCCTGGGAGAGCCATCTAATGGTCAAGTTTTAGTGCAAAGGTGTTCAGCACTGAGTCACAGAGAAGACGGGAGAGAAGAGACCAGCCCTATTCATCTTCCACGGGGGATGGGTAATTACGGCCCATCAGCACAAAGGGATGGGGGGGCGGGGCATGACCCAGAATCTAAAACACCTGTATGAACAGGCGCAGAAAGCTCTAAGAGACATGCTAAGTAGGAAAAAACCCTGAAGGTATAGGGGCGCCTGGGGCGCTCAGTTGTTAAGCGTCTGCCTTTGGCTCAGGTCACGATCCTGGGGTCCTGGGATCGAGCCCCACCATCAGGGTACCCACCTACCGGAAAGCCTGCTTCTCCCTCTCCCACTCCCTCTGCTGTGTTCCCTCTCTGTCTCTCTTCGTCCAATAAATAAATAAAATCTTAAAAAAAAGAAAAAAACCAAGGCATATAACAGCAGATATAATTCAAGCCCATCTCCATAAAAACAACTCAAATAAACATAGTAATGAATAGAGAGCAGGATTTGACAAGAGGAAGTAGGGTCTGCAGGCAAAACCTGGTCCACTCCCCAGTTACTCGAAGGCAGCCACACCCACTCATTCACGCTGCGTCTAAGGCCGCCCTGGGCCCGCACTGGCAGAGTTGAGTGTTTGCAATAAGTACCAGATGGCCAGAAAAGCCGAGAATATTCACCAGCTGGCCTCTCGGAGAGATAAAAGTATGGAGGCGCCAAAGGCAAACTGGGGTGCGCACAGGGACCCAGGCGTCTTTTATTTCTGCACTGTCGGAACTGCAGTAGCGATGCATGTGTGGCTCAGGAAAACCAGATTACCCTTACAACAGAGTTAATCACATCAGAAAGAGGTTATGTTCATTCAAAAAAAAAAAAAATCTCAAAGTTCATAATCGGAATTACCACAAAAAACAACACTCCATAGAAAATAGGAGAACAGCCCACGTGTTAACTGTGGTTGTCTCTTAAGAGCGGAATCACAGGTGATTTTTTTTCCTCCTTCTACTTTTCCCTCTTTGCCCCAATCAATGCAACCATATTACTTTTGAAATGGGGGGGGGAGGATTTAATTTTTTTATTGGAATTTAAAAAATTTTTTTAGGATTATTTATTTATTTATTTATTTGAGAGATAGAGAGAGGCTCAACCTACTGAGCCACCCAGGCGCCCCAAGAAATTTAATTTTTAAAGAAATCTCCCAGGAAGGGGAGATTAAAAAATAAAAATAAAACCTCAAAGATATCTACTGCTCTTTTCCTCTTTTTTCTTTTTTTGTTCCACTCCCAAGTATAAGCTTTTAAAATTCTGCGCTGAGGTCTTGCCCTCTGGCATGACCCACTAAATCCCACACTTCGCAAGTGAGATGAGCCCTCTGGGAGATCACAAGACAGTCTCTGCCAAATCCTTTCCAGATGTCTAACCCTTTGACTCAGTATTCCACCCCTGAAAATTATTCAACAAAACCCAAAACTATTTCCAAAGATGATGTTTACTACAATGACAGCTCTACAGAGCAAAGACTGATAAGACTCTTTCAAGTGGCCAGGGCTGGGGATCGGTTCCAGAAATGATAGCACAGTCATGGAGAAAAGGGAAAGCCACCATGGGAACCACACCCTGAGGCTCCCACTGGAATCCAGCAACTGTAATCCTGTCCTGATAAAGGGAGAAGCTGAATTCAGAATGCGGGCTGCACTCTAACTATAAGCTTGTAAACAAATTTAGGTATTATTTATCTTCTGAAATCTGTTTTATAGGATCTCAGATCGGAGCCTGGGCGTCTGCCTGTCTTGCCGTCTGAGTTCCAAGCTCGAAGGTCGGGATCGTACCTTCTTGATGGTGCTGAGGTTGGCATTCCGGGACACAGGGAAGTTCAGATAGACCCCCGTGGGCAGCAGGAAGTCAACAGCCACACTCTGATTCTCCTCCTTGGTCCAGAATTCCATGGGGCAGTCAACCCCAGGGGGCATTCTGCTCTCTCACCTCTCAGTCCCTGGTTGTCCTGAAAAGGAAGGAAAGGCAAAATGAGCCATCCTCAGCACGCTGATGAATCCTTTGAAAGGATTCTCTGGAAAATCAGAATGTTGGGACCTTGGCGTCAGGAAATTCAGGAAGGAGTCTCTCCTCTGGGAGCCCCAAACTTGCCTCCCTCTGGGGCCTCGTCCTGCATGGGGTGGCTTGGGGCTCCTGTCCCCCAGACTCTGTCCCCCCCCCACGACACCCTACATCACTCAGCACAGTGGCCCAAATTCAAGACACCAACAGACCCATTCCAAATCATTTTTTCTCAGGAATGCACACACGCGGGATACCCCGCCACGGCCCCCAGCTGGCAGACAGAGGCGGGGGATGGCAGCATCCTTGGTCAGGCAACCCAGGACTCGAGAAGGACCAAAGGCTGCAGTTCTTGGAAACTTTCTTTCTTTTTAAAAACATTTTTTTTTATTTGACAGAGAGAGCACAAGCAAGGGGAATAACAGGCAGAGGGACCTGATGCGGGGCTCTATCCTAGGACCCTGAGATCATGACCAGAACAGAAGGCAGGTGCTTGACCATCTGAGCCACTCAGGCCCCCCCCCGCCGTCCCGCCCAGGCTACCACCATCTGGATTCTGGTTATGTGTAATTTCCATGCATGTTTTTATACTTTTTTTTTTTTAAAGATTTTATTTATTTATTTGACAGAGAGATCACAAGCAGGCAGAGAGGCAGGCAGAGAGAGAGGAGGAAGCAGGCTCCCTGCTGAGCAGAGAGCCCGAGCATGTTTTTATACTTTGATTGTACTAACATGTATCCACAAACAATTCTCAACAGTTTTGCATGTTTTCAAACTTGGTAGGAATAGGTCTGAAGAGCAAGTCTTCTGCAACCTGCAACCCACATTATGTTTTGGTTTTTTTTTTTTGAGATTTTATTTATTTATTTGACAGACAGAGATCACAAGTAGGCAGAGAGGCAGGCGGAGGCAGAGGGGAAAGCAGGCTCCCTGCCCGATGCGATGCGATGCGGGGCTTGATCCCAGGACCCTGGGATCATGACCTAAGCCGAAAGCAGAGGCTTAACCCACTGAGTCACCCAGGCACCTCCCACGTTATGTTCTTTAGGCTAATCCACATCGATACTTGTAGCTCCGGCTTATTCATTGTAACTCCTGTGCTATTTCCCTGTGTCAATAAAGCACAGTTTATTTACCCCTTCTCTTGCTGATGAACCTCAGGGTTTGCTTCTGCTCTTTCGGGTTATTACAAACAATGCTACAATGTATCTCCTTACACACGTCGCTTTGTGTGCAGGTGCTTTGTGTGCAGGTAGAGTCGGGATGAGCATTGTCCAAAGAAATACAATGGGAACTACACAGGTGATGTCAAAGTCACCAGAAGTCACATTCAAAAGAAGTAAGAAGATAAAAATTAAGTTTACTCATCTATTTTGCTTAACCCAATATATCCAAAATACAGTCATTTCAAAATGGCCCTCAACATGGCAAAATTACTAATGAGATAGTTTACATTATTTTGGGGGCATGAAGTCTTTGCAATCTGGTGTGTATTTTCACTTAGAGCACACTGCAGCTTGGATCCTACATTTCCACCGGAAACACTTGACCTCTATATCAATGTCATACACTTCACAGATGAAAAAGGAGGGCCGTGGACTCAAGTTGCTCCAAACAGACTGAAAAGTTTTCCAAGAAATGAGTCGAGTACCCATTCTGACATTTGAATGAATCAAAATGAAAGAAAATGCTTAAAAATGTTGTTCTTCAGTCACTTTTCCCAATTCCAAGTACTCAAGAGCGACACCTGGCAGGGGGCCACCACGCTGGACCACACCGGTCTGGGGGAACTGTCGGATCACGGCCATGACCTATGACAGCTAAAACTAGAGCCTCAGCTTTACTAAAGGAAAGCAGAGGTGCCCGTTAGCAACGGGACCAGCGCTGTCCCCGGCTTACTCTCCGTATCTCCATCGGCGCTTCGCATCGTCCAAATTCACTGTTTCTGCCAATCTGATGTGCAGGGAATGCTCCTTTGTTGTTTTAATTTGCATTTCCCTGATGAGCCATAAAAATGTTTATCTTCTGCAAAGAGCCTGCTTATAAATGTTGCCCATTTTTTTCCTGTGGAGTTGTCTTTTTCTTATTGGTTTATAGGGTTTTTAAAAAATATACTCCAGATTCAATTTATCTGTTGCTTAAATGAGTTGGAAATATCTTCTTTTGGTCTGAGTCATCTTTTCATTTTGTTTATGGTGCCTTTTTTGGTGAAGGAAAAGTTCGTTATGCTGATGTAGTCAAATACTGTCCTTTACGTTCTGGTTTTATTCTTTCGAGAAAGATTTCCCTACCCTGGGGTCCCATCCTCCTAGATGTAAATGACTCAGAAAAACGACTGAGAGGAATTGTGTAGCTTGGGGAGATATTCCTTTAGGGGCTCTGCCAACAGGGCCCAGACCTCAGCCTCACCGAGGGGCTAAGTGTAGAATCTGCTGGGAGCAGCACGACATTGCGCTGGAGCGATCATGTCACCACCACTGGGATCCAGTTCCTGATTGTAAAACCACATCCTACTTTGGGTTCCTCTTTCTGAGAATGGCCAGGCCAAAGGCTTTCTTTTTGATTCAAAATAGGGGGGAGGGACAGGCAGGAATCCTCGAGAATCCACTTCCAACACTGCCAGCGTTCTGCCGACGACGCTCAGGAAGTCAGGGCACCTGCGGCCACTCAATCCCGAGGCCAAGATGGGCACAAGTAGCATGAGCAACTTGGGACTCCAGCCAAAGGGGCGGTGCCTGAGACAAATGCACCCCCTTGCTCTTCTGCCCCATAGTGCTGTGGAAGGAAGCCTTCAACTAACCTCACCCGTCTGGGATGCATGGTCATACTTCCGTGTATAAAGCTCATGCCTAAGGAAGGAAGACCCCGGATGGTGTGGGCAGGACGTAACCAAATGTCAGAGATGCGGCAGGAGGAAGCAGGAACCCTCTCTCTCTTTGTGCGCCCAGGACCCAAGTTCAGCTGCTCACAAGCCCCAACCCTCCAGGAAGCTCAGACTCATCACCCCGCAATGTATGGGACAAAGGTGCCAACTGATCTGGGGACTTTAGAACTGCCCCAAGAACGCAAATGGCTGCAACCGCTTGGACAAAGTACCCAGTCTTGACAGTATCTACTAAAGTGAGCAGGTGATGCCCTCTGACCCAGCAATTAATTGCACACCTCGGTCTACACTCATCGGAAACATGAGTCCCTGTGCAAGAGGAAACACAAACAGGAGTGTGTACGGCACTGCTATTCTGAATAGTCCCAAACTGGAAACTTCCCAAATGCACATCAGCAGTATAATGGAGAAATAAATGATGGTCTCTTTTCCCGGTGGAATGTAACATAGCAATGACAATGAGCGATCTACAAATGCACACAACAGTGTAAACGGATCTCATAAACATGCAACTGAACAAACGAAGTCAGGCACAAGAGTATGTGCTCACGATTCTAATTATACAGAGAAGACAGGCAGAGCTCATCTATGTTGGCAGCGGAGGGGGAGACGGGGTGACCCCAGAAGGAGGGCAGTTACCCCAGGGTCAAAGGGTACGAGGGGCTTCTGGGTGCTGGTACTTCAGTTTCTTGATCTGGAAGCTGGGGACTTTTCACAAACTCAACTCAGTAGGAGTGGTTCAGCAAAGCTGACTTCCTGGCCACTTCAGGCCCAGCCACCCAGAGCCCCGAACTCCACCCCCCATCCCACCCCACCTCCAGGAACTGGATTGGAACCAGGAGGAGGCTCGGCCCACCATTCACTGTGTGTCCTCTCCTGGCCACAGTGATTCCAGGATGGGAGTGAGAATGTCAAGTCAGTCCAGTGCCTTTGACACCCTGGTGTCTGTCTTCAGGTACTGCCTCCTGGAGTAGTGAAACTTGAGAGACGACCACCATGAAGGAGAGGAGAGCTCACAGAAGAGTGGTGGAGTCCTGAAGACAGCCTTTGAGTCCCTGGATCCAGCCATGCCTGAGGCTCTACCTGGATTTTCAGTTCTATTCGCCAAAAAAATCTCCCTGCCTCCCCAGCCTCTCACGCCCCACCTTTTTTTTTTTTTTTAACTTGGAACGGTTTTGTCTTTTTTGGTTTTTTGGGGAGGGTGGGTTTCGTTGTTGTTTTCGGTCATTCGCAGCTGCACGTTCCATTTTAGGAAGCTTCTAGTGTTTAGAAAGTTCTTTCCTTGGAAATTGGCCCGCCTCTTGGAGCCAACCCTGATCTTTGTGTTATTATCTAGAGTTACCCAGAGCTTCCTGATGGCTCCTTCTCCTGGATGATGACCTCAGTACCTCTCTTCTCCCTACAACACAGTTTTTAGACTCTTGCCAAAGTCTGGTACTCTGTGAAAAAAGATGCTATGGATGGGGTCTGACAGGCCAACTGTCGAGGAATGTTCTGGGTACCAGACTCCCACTGATTAGCTTAATAAAATTTTATCAGCCCCTTCCCCCAAGAAAGTTCTTCAACGGTTATACTAAGCTCTCTGGCTGCCAGCCTTCTAGGTATTTCTCCCAGGAAGTCAGGTTCTCTCAATGAATCTCTTGGATCTGAATGCAGAATTCACAATTACTGTTGGTGACTTCATCTCATGGAAGTAACTGGCACCCATGTATCACCGCATTTGATATTTTGTACATATGACTCAGTCTGAGATATATTAGTTTAAACTATTTATTAAGTCCCAAGAGCAGTGCACGGGGGAGACAGTAACACCCACACACGGAGTAGGTAGGGAGATGATCACACATTCTATCAACAGGGGGAAGACGGCACGCCAAAAGGTGATGTAATGGAGAGAGCCTACTCCCTGGGGGGAGGCCAGGAAGGGCCCTCCTGAGAAGAGGACACTGGAGCAGAGAACCAGAGGGGGCCAGCCGTGTCCACGGCGGATGAAGGCAGGCCACGCCCACTAGAGCAAGCGGGTGGGGCAGGGAGGGGAGGACAGGGATGAGATGGGGTGAAGA